AGTTGTTTGGAAGGTGGAGGAAGAATGGAATAGGAAGAGGGCTTGGCTGGTCTGAACCCCCAAACTTCACAGGTCCCCCTGTAAACCAGAACTGGCTCTTTTCCTCCAGTAGGAAACACTACACCACTGAGAGATCGCTAAGCTAATTCCTAGGCGGAAGGGCGGGTTTGGTAAAGGAGAGAAGGAAGGCGGGCGTTTTGCCTCGCCTTTTTCTCCTTGGTGGCGGCCAAATGGGGGGCAGCGGGCGGGAGCAGGAGACCGAAGCAGCAGCAGCGGTGCTGGCTCAGCGTTTTTCGGAACGTGACCGCTCATATGACTGCGTGAGGTCACAATGAGGAGGGCCAGGGCGGAAGCCAATTTGGAGGAGGCGGAGCGGCGGCCGAACGGTGAGTGAGTGGGAGGAAAGTGCTCCGGTTTCAGATTTGGGGGCGAAGGGGACTTAGCGGTGCCTCCGCCGCCGCCGCCCCCTGTTTGCACTCACGGAAAGGCCGGATGTACCGAACATGGGGCGAGGGGAGGCAGAGTGCCTGCGGTCGAAGCATGTCTTGCTCCGGAAAACTTGGAATCCCTTGCAGGGCAACCGCCGCTGAAGTAGCCTGCGCGGGGCGGCTCTTGCCTACTTCCCTGGCCCGCGCCGCGCTCCTGGCAGTTCCCTTTCCGGTAGCTCGTGTCTCCATCTCAGCTCCGTTTGGGTAACTGCACCCGGTGAAGTGAAATGTTGCGCTGCTGCGACAAAAGGGCCCCGTCCGAGCAGCCTTCCGCAGCCCGGTGCCCTTCGGATGTTCTGGGTTACAACTCTCACGGTGCTGGCTGGGGCATGCTGAGAGTTGTAGTCTAAGACGGCTGGAGGGCACCGAGTTGGGGAGGCTGGGCGGGGGTGCCTGTTTAAAATCATGCAACGCTTTCTTAAGCATCTTTTATATCGCTTTATGACATACCCTCCGTTCAACGAGAGAGCGGGCTTTTTGTGTCTATCGTGCGTCTGCATGGGTGATAAGTGGTTTCTGATCCGTGTTGGGGATGATTGTAAGAAAGACTGACTGAGTGACTGAACCACAGTTCGCGGAGAACAGAGGGTGCTTCAGTATGTGCGATGCTTGCTGCATTTGTCACTAGGTGACTAGAAAGGAGCCTGTAGAACAGACTCCCCAACTGAGTCCCATCTGGATATTTTAGATGGCAATTCCCATCAACCCCAACCAAGGTGGAATGCAGTACCAGAAGTCTGGAGATCATCACGTTATGGAAGAATGTAAACCTGTTGCTTTACGTGAATGGAGAGTGATAATCATTTAGCTTTTCATGACCCTCAGTGGGTATTGTGAATAAGTTGCTTTGTCCAGGCTTTAGAGAACCACTAGGTCCAAATGGGGCCAATTGCTGGCCTTGGCTTCAGCTGCTGTAGCACAAACAGCTACAGCAGCAAGATACGCAACAGACAGTAGCAGGAAGTTGAAAATCCTGGAACATTCCCTTTAACCTGTCCATCTCAGAGAGATGTTTGGAGGATAAATGGGAGAAATGCATGATGTTTCTTCTGTGTGGAGCATTCTCCACCCCATCCCATCCAACAGGCCAGGCATGGGCAGACGTCAGGCTGGCAGGATCTGCTTCATATTTTCCTAGAAACCTGAGATCCATCCACCCAGAGTCTTGTGCCAGAGATTCTGAGCCCAGCAACTGGGTGCCATAGCAGAGCACAGCTCACGGTCCTTCCACACAGTAAGTCATCCCTGTTTAAGCCCATGCTGTCTTTGTTTCAGCAATATAATTTAGTGTGTGTGAGGACAGGAGACATTTGTTGCTGCTATAGTTATACAATAGGGAGCCATAAATCTTTGCCAATTTATAGTAAATCAAGAGACATAATTTTAATCCAGATTCACCTTCTGCCCACTTGTCTGTTTTCCTTTCCTCTCCTGACTCTCCATCCTATCCCTATTCAAAATTTACTGCTTCATTAAAGCCTTCATAGAATAATAGAATCATAGAGTTGGAAGGGGCCAGAAGGCCATCAGGTTCACACCACTGCTAAGTGCAGGACCCTAAGTTAAACCATCCTCTCAGATGACTGTACAGTTGCATCTTGAATGCCCCTAGTCTGGGAGAGCCCACAACTTTGCTGGGTAATTGGTTCCATTCTTGTACTGTTCTAAAAGTCAGGAAATGTTTCCTGGCATTTAGCTGGAATCTGGCTTCTTGTAACTTGGGTTCCTTTATTCTGCGTCTGGCACCCTGGGATGATTGAGAAGAGATCCTGGCCTTCCTTTATGTGACAACCTTTCCCTTGCTTGAAGAGTGCTATCATATCTCTCCTCAGTCTTCTCTTCTCAAAGCTAAACATGCCCAATTCCCTCAACTTCTCCTGAGAGTGTTTTGTTTCTAGTTCCTAGATCATCCTTGCTGCCCTCTTCTGAACCCTTTCCAGCTTGTCTGCATCTTTCTTAAATTGTGGTGACCAAAAGTGGGCACAGTACTCCAAATGAGGCCTAAACAGTGCTGAATAAAAGGGAACCAATACGTCATAGGATATGGAAGCGATCCATCTATTTAATCCAGCTTAAAATAGTATTTGCCCTTTTTGAAGCCACATCATGTTGTTGACTCACACTCAGCTTGTGATCCACAACAATTCCAAGATCCTTCTCATTTGTAGTATTGTTGAGCCAAGTATTTCCCTTCTTGTATCGATGCATTTGGTTTCCTTTTCCTAGGTGCAGAACTTGCATTTGTCCCTACTGAATCTCATTCTGTTGTTTTCAGTCCAGTATGCTAACTTCTCAAGATCCCCTTGAATCTTCTGTCTGTCTTCCAGGGTACTAGCTCTGTCCGGGACTGAACACTGAGGTACCCCATTTGTTACCTCTCCCCTGTATGAGAAGGTGTTGTTGATGAGCGCTGTTTCAATCCGATTCTATAGCAAGCTGTGGATCCACCGGATTATTGTTCTATCTAGTCCACTTTTTGCTAGTTTGTTAACCAGGAGATCATGGGGCACTTTCTCAAAAGTTTTGGTAAAGTCAAGATAGATTGTGTCCACAGCATTCCCACAGTCCATCAGGGAGGTTGTACAATAAAAAAATGAAATCAGATCAGTCTGGCAGGATTTATTCTTGAGAAATCTGTTTTGGCTTCTAGTAATCACTGCATTGTTTTCAAGGTGTTTGCAGATTGACAGCTTTATAATCTGCTCCAGAATTTTCCCAGATTGATGTCAGACTGACTGGTCTGTAGTTTCCAGGTTCTTCTCTTTTTTCCTTTCTTGAAGAAAGGGACACACATTAGCCCTTCTGCAGTCGTCTGGCACTTCCCTGTCCTCCTTGATTTCTCAAAGATAATAGACAGTGGTTCTGAGAGTTCTTCCACCAGTATCTTCCTGGAGATGTGAACTCATTCAACACAATTAGATGATCTTTGACCATTTGCCTATTAATCTTGAACTGCCATTCTGCTCCATCAGCTTGTACTTCCCCTTCAGACTAGATGGCCCGGGAGGCCCCTTGTGACTCGCTCTGTTTCTGTGTTTCTTCAGGAAGGTCATAGCTCTTCCTTTGGGAGATTGAGCCAAAGTAGGGATTGAGCACTTCTGCCTTTAATCTGTCATGTTATCATTTTGCCTTCCACATTGAGTAGATGAACCCCCATTTTTTTTCCTCTGTCCTTTACTTTGGGCATATCTGAAGAAGGGTTTTGCTGCTGCTGCTTTTAAGAATACCTTGCTAGCCTCAGTTCATTCCTAGCTTTAACCTTCTGTGTACTCTCTTCTCCCAGTCAACATGCCTTCTGTGTAGTGTTTCTTCTAAATCACCTTCTGACTCCACTTTCGCTCTTTAAGTCATATTTACTAATAATGTCACATTGTGTCAAGGCCAGGCACTATTCCGTTTTTAAGCGGAAAAGAACAAAACCCTGGGCAGGATCCAGGAGTTAGTTTGAAGAGTGCAGATGCTGAAAGCAATAGGACTTAGGCTAGTCATGACAAGTCTCCAAGATTTGAGAGGCTTTGCTGTTAAGTATGATTACATCTGGATCCATTCCCTGGTCTGCAGGCTTACCATTCTTCCCTTCAAATGCATCCATCCACACCAATAGTAAGGAAGCAGAAGAGGCAGAGAGGAAGTGAGGGAAAGGCTCCAAAATATGGGTGTTGATGCTGTCCAGACATTTGAAATAAGACAGTGGTGCAGATATCAGGAAAAATGCATGAGTCCAGAGTGAAAGGAGCAAGAGAGGCATGAAGCAGGTAACCCAGTCCTTGGGCAAGGGAAGAGCAGCAGCAGCAGCATGCTCTTCTAGCAGTGCTTGCTTATGTGGCTGTTCTGCTCCAAACAAAGCTGCTTTGTCCACCAGTGGCCCATCTGACCCAACGAAGTCTACTTTGGCAGAGGGATCTCCGGAAGAGTTTTTCCCAGCCCTGTTACCAAGATTGGTTTGACTGCAGCTGCTCGGGATTGCACCTAGCACCTTCAGTGTGTAAAGGATGTGCTCTACTGTTGGGCTGTTTCTTTTCTTGCTTCAAATGTCATAGCTAGATCAGGGCTTGCACAGGTTCTCTGCACTGGGAACTGTGAGTTCCAAGTCTCTTGGAGCTTTGCCCTGGATGAGAGTTACACTTCCCATATAAAAAAGGAGAAAGAAGTAGCATGATTAACACACGTTTTGTTTTTGGTAAGCTAGGAGCTGACTGGCTCTTGGACTGGTGCCCTTTAATGTCTGGGAATTGTTTTTTCTCATCTGTGCAATTTAGAGGCAACTTGTGGCCCTCCAGAAGTTGTTAGACTGTAAACTTTATCACCCTTACGTAACTCAAGTATTGGTGATGGCTGATGGAAGCTGCAAGGGAAAAAGTTGCTCTCAGGTGTGATTGCTGTTCCATGCCAGCTCTTTAAATGGGATATAAATCAAAACCATGAAATGTTAATGAACTATGACTCAAATTTTGCTATTCACTGATTCTGAATAAATGGTCTTCTGTTTCATATGAAGTTACTCTAATTATTTTCTATCTAAGCATGACTTGTTTCTCAGTAGCTCTTGAATGCAGAATGTACCTAAGCTGAAAAACTATTCAGTTAAGGAGTATATTATTGTTTCTCTTGCTGTTAGCAGACCTAACCTCTTATCAATCATTCTCCATTCTGGTTTGCAATCCATTAATCAAATATTTGTTTCAAACTTACAGGTTAAGATGAAACTCATCATTTTAGAGAATTATGCTCAGGCCAGTGAATGGGCTGCAAAGTACATTAGGAATCGAATCATTCAGTTTAATCCAGGTCCAAGCAAATATTTTACCCTTGGGCTTCCCACTGGTAAGTTACAGGAGGGGTGCGTGCATCAGGGGGTGCTTTGTGATTGGTAGGGCAGCAACTTCAGGGTCTTCTTACACAAACGCCATGCTATAAATATAATCAAGGCATCAAACTCTTTTGTGGGTGTTTGCTACAAATTATTGGCAAGCAAAAATGTATGCTGCATAAAGCATAATGAAAATACTTCATGTAGTAGTACTTGAGCAGCTTGTAAGTTTATAACTTGTTTGCTTGACTGTTGGATGAATGCATCACAGCTTGCATGTGCCACACTCATTATTCCCAGATTGACTGAGCCTGTAGGATGCCGAGGCTGCTTTTGGTGGACTGGTTTCTTTTTTTGGAAGACCCAGTTTCTGAATGCATTGTCCACATTATTGCGAGAGAAGTCACAGTACCGTGATACAGGTATATGGAACAAGAAATCTATTTACTTGTTGAAAAGTCATTTCCCCCTCAAATAATAGGACAAGGGATGTAGGGTTACTGTTGAAAACAGCAGCAACACCCACGGCTGAGTTCCCCTCTTCCTTTCCATTCTAATTCAGCCTTCCCCAGACTGGCACCCTCCAGATAGGTTTGACTACAATGCCCATCGGCCTCAGTCAGGAATGATTAAGTTGGTGGAGGTCCTGGATCCTGTAGTCCAACCCATCTGGATGGTGCTGAGTGGAAGTCAAAATTCAGTTTGGTACATTACCATGCCTGTTCTTTATTACTGATAGTCGCCAGTAGTAATTCTAGGCTGATCACACTGATGGTAGCATTGAGAAGCTAAATATACAAACAACCAGATGTTCCAGGCATGGGACTTCCGTTTCATAGTTCCTCTGTATGAGGACCTGCATGGCCTGTGAAGTGCAAAGCAGCCAACTCCACCAGGTCAGTGCTTGCAGGGTCGCCTCCCAGTGTGTGAGGTTGCAGGATTACCCTCAGTTCACTCAGGCAGACCAAGGGAGAGTCATAGGAAGTGTTATACAAAACTTCTGGTCCTGGTCAGCTATGCCACAACACCACATTCTTGTGGTGGCTGCATTGTGCCCTGATTTGGCTTCGCTTCCAGCCCAGCAGTGTCTTCAACTACGGGCAGACAAAATGGTTCAAAATGCCGTTTCTGCTTCTGATGCCCTTACACCTTGCCAGTGTCTGAGCTTGGCCCGTGTAAAGACGTAGTTCTCCTTCTTCCTCCATTACCCTTGGCTCTGGTTCAGTATGCTTGCCATTTATGTCCTGGAACTGACATCATGTGTGTTGACAAGACAGCATGGGTAACATGAGAAATTGCAGTAGCTGAGCTGAGAGGCTTGCAGTAAGTTGGTGAAAGCTGTTCTTTAATAATGGACATTTTCCTTTAGAAAACATCAGGGGACAAAAGCGGATTCTTCTGCTTAAATGGCTCCTTAAGCAACTATGCTGTGCTGTAACATTGTGCCCAAATTCCTATCTGATGCATGTACTGTAGGGGCCCATAAAGGGGGTTCAACGCATGTCCATTACATGCTAGTACTTGGAAGAGTGTGCTCCTATTGCAGGTAGAAAGCACTTCCAACAATATGGGCTTGGCTGCCGGAGGACAAGAGTGGGCTTGCCTGCACTAAGTTTTGATCAAGAGCTGAGCTAGGGCTGCATAAGATACCTCTGATCCATTCTTCAGTAGAGGCATCCCCTCAGCCTGGTGGGCTACAGTGTCCATCATCGACAGCCAACAAGGACAGTAGTTCTTCTGGCTGGGGATGGTGGGGATTGTAGTCCAACCCATCTGGAGAGTGCCCCGTTGGGGAAGGCTGTTCTGTAGTAAAACACAACGGAGTGATGTTGAAGTCCTAAGCGATGCTACTTACCATTTGTGTAGTGCAGAATTCCACTTCACTGACTATGCTTTCCTTTCATCTCTAGGAAGTACTCCTTTAGGATGTTACAAAAAACTAATAGAATATTACATGAATGGAGACCTCTCTTTCAAATATGTGAAAACCTTCAATATGGATGAATATGTGGGTGAGTCCCCTTTAAAAACTGTAGAGAAGAAACCATTGCTACCCCTCACCTACAAATCTACTCTGCTTAAGTAAGCACAGACCCTGTTTACCTGCACAGTCAATTGTGAGTTAATTTGACAAAATCTAGCAAGAGGGGGCATGTTGCCTCTGGCTTACTTGTTGCTTTCATTCTCAATTAACAACCTACAATCACTTCTTCATAGGTTGTAGTGTGAAATCCGAACCTGGATACTCTGGCTTGTTTAGGAATTAAACAACCCAGAGTAAAAACCTGTTGGTTGTTGTTGGGTTAACTCCAGGTTGTTTAAGCCCTTAACTGTCCATAATACCAGGCCCTAAGAGCAACCACCCACAAGCAGATCAGTTGTTAATTGAAAGCTGAAGTAAGGAGTATGACAGAGACAACATACGCAGTTGCATCCCCTAGACTTTGATAAATCTTGTGTTAACTGATGAGTCCCATTATGTGTGGACTGGGTTTCAGACTTCATTCTGAAATATAGTATTGGTTGTAGTGGAAAAGCAGGAGGTAAATCGAATAAATGAAAAATAAAATAGTGACTTGGGAACTGAGCTGTAAACCAGGACACTGGTTCTTAGTTCACATTCTAACAACAGTTCAATAGGTAGCCTCAAGAACACACACACTCTGCCTCACTTTCCTATTTTCCGTATGAAAATATTACTGTATGATCTTATAGGGTTGCTCTAAGGGTTGCTATGATGACGTAAAGTGGCTTCAGCCTATAAACATGATAGATGTTACTTTAAGGTACTGTCTTCCAAAAACTGTGGGTAAGCCAACAAATAGCCCACTGTAGTAAAGGGTAGTGGGTAGGAAGATAACTAAGTAATCCTTAGTGTTGCATTCCTCTCCTGACTTTACCATTTCCAAGTTGGTTTGTTTCTTTATAAAATTTGTATGCCGTCCATTACTTCCATCTCTGGACAGCTTACAACATTAATCAGAATAAAATAAACTAACTACTCCACGCTGGCTGAAAATCCAATAAAATACAAACAATAAAATCCAATTAATACATATTAAAATACTGATCGAATTAAAAGGTCTTGGCCTGGTGCCAAAAACATATGATGACAGCGCCAGGCGGACCTCTCTAGGGAGTGCTTCCATAGTTGGGGCACCACCGCAGAGAAGGCCCTCCTCCGGGTACTCTGTCTCCTAATGTCTTTCACAGAGGGTTCCCAGAGGAGGGCTTCTGCTGCCGATCTCAGGGGGCAGGAGGGCATATAGGGAAAAAGACGTTCCTTTAGGTATCCTGGTCCCAAGCTGTTTAGGGCTTTATAGGTAATAACCAGCATCTTGAACTGAGCCCGGACTTCAATGGGAAGCCAGTGAAGCTGATAGAGGACTGGGTTATATGAGAATACCGCGCAGTCCCTCACAGCATCCTGGCAGCTCTATTTTGCACCATCTGAAGTATCCAGACTGTCTTCAAGGGCAGCCCCACATAAATCACGTTACAGTAATCCAAATGGGAAGTAACCAATGCATGTGTCACTGTTGCTAGGCAATCCTCCTCCAGGTAGGGATGCAGCTGATAGATTAGCCAAAGATGAAGGAAAGTGCTCCTCGCTACCACCGTCACTTGGGCTTCCAAGGAGAGCTCCAGGTTGAGGAACACTCCCAAGCTGCGGACCCTGGCCTTTAGAGGGACTGCAACTCCATCCAGGACAGGGCCAATGTCACCTACACAGGAGCTTGAATCACCCACCAACAGGACCTCCATCTTATCTGGATTGAGCTTCAGTTTATTGGCCCTCATCCAGCCCATTACCTCGGCCAGGCACCGGTTTAGGACAGCCACTGCCTCACCTGGATTAGTTGAAAACGAGAGGTAGAGCTGGGTATCATCAGCGTACTGATGATTCCACAGCCCAAACCTCCTGATGACCTCTCCCAGTGGTTTCATGTAGATGTTGAATAGCAAGCGGGACAGAATGGAGCCCTGTGGTACTCCATGGTGGAGTTGCCATGGCGCACAGCCAAAGTCCCCCAGCACCACCTTCTGTAACCGGCCAGCAAGGTAGGAGCGGAACCACTGCAAAGCAGTGCCTCTGACCCCCAATCCCGCTAGCCTATCCAGAAGGATATCATGGTCGATAGTATCGAAAGCCACTGAGAGGTCCAGGAGAACCGACAGGGATACACTCCCCCTGTCTCTCTCCCTGCACAGGTCATCGTACAGGGCGACCAAGGCAGATTCAGTACCATAACCGGGTCTGAAACTGGACTGAAATGGGTCCAGATAATCAGTTTCATCCAAGAGTACTTGGAGTTGTCCCGCCACCACCTGTTCCAACACCTTGCCCAGAAACGGGATGTTGGCCACCAGTCTAAGTTCATGAGCAAGAAGAGGGTTGTACAGGTTCTCCAAGCCAGGATTTACTCTGTTGCTTGTTACAGAAGCAGTAGGGCATGGAGATCTGTCTTTCCAAATTCCTACCCTGGAGTCCTTTTTCTTTTCCTGCCCAGACTGCCTCCCCTAGTTTCTGAGTAGTACCCATTCTTCTTAGAACATAGCAGTAGCTGGTCAAGGCAAGCTTTCAATATAGAGAAGAGGCTTTCCCCCAGAAAACCCCAAACCTGTCCAAGCTGTTTCTGCACTGTCTGCAGGGGCTGGCTTCCTAAGATGGGCTCTTTGGACTACCTCTACGTGGATCAGTCTCATGTTAAGGACATGCACTATCCATCACTCCCTGTAATAGTGAATTCAGGGTGGTGAGTGCCAACAAAACTGGAGCCAAAATGGGCCACTTAGAAACAAGACACTGATATCTGTGGATGGGGGCAGGGAATCCAGATGAGGTTCTATTTGTTGTTCATGGAATGTCAAGTTCTAGCTGGGAAAGAAAAATGGAAACCTGAGTTGCAAGATAGAATGCCCTGTTTTAAGCTCCTTACTGCTTATATAGTTTGCTGAAGAAGGGCATGGCAGATAGGAATCTTTAGCAGCAGCACTCTGCAGTTCCCACCTATTTTACTTTCAAATAACGACTGAGAAACTTTAACCAAACATAAAATGCATCTGTATTTTAAAGCAAGTACACTGGAATGTTGCTGCTGTATCTTTTTCCAGAAAAAGAGCAATCTCTCCTGTTAGACCAACTCTAAAAATGTTTTGCTAGCTTCCATAGTTCTTTATCTAGCATGGATAAATTTTGGAACAGTTTCAAGAAGAAATTTTCCCAATTTCTAAGAGTGCAGCTGTTATTCTGCTCTGAAGTTAAAAAAAGTCATGAGTCACACAATTATTCTCTAACCTTCTCACTGAAACTCCTGTGAAATGAGAGGGCAGACACTAAAACACCTCCCCCGCCCCCCGCCAGTGTTATATAAAATGCAACTTTGAATGCATGCAAAGAATAACCATAGTGATCAGCCCCACAAGTGTGGGGAAGAATGCATCCTAGTTGTCTTCATAGCAGTGTTCTTGGGGTTTATTGGTGTGCTAGACCAGTTCTGTGTTTTGCAGTTTTATTGCAGCCCAGTCCAGATCCAGCTACTGGCTGTCTAGCCTGCATTACCAGCTTTGAGTGACAGCTGTCTCAGGCAAGAAACTTTCTCAGTACCTGCTTCTAGATCCCTTTTCTCTGCTTAGGGATGTTGTAATGTTTAAGAAGTATGAACATATCACTAATAAAAATAAACAAACTGGAGATGCCAGGGATTGAACTTCTCCATCTAAAGCAGGTCTGTTACTGGGCTGTAGCTCTTGCAAGCTGCTACTTGTGTATTTTTGTGAACAAAAGGTGCATAGGCTCTGGGCTGTTTACAAGAGATTAAAACCAACAATAGTTAAAATTTCAACTAAAAGGGCATATTAAATTGAACTAATCTGGGAACTAATCTTGGAAGGCTTGTCAGAAGAGACACATCTTAAAGGTTGCAATCTAGGATAACTGACATCTCTTTTCTAGCAGGCCATTCTATGCCTTAGGGGCAACCACTGAGAAAGTCCTAACAGCTAGTACTCATTAAATTTACAGAGGTAAGCTTCAAAGCTTATCCCCAGAGGCTCTTAGTGGGTGAGGCAGCATATATGGGCAAAGGCACTCCTAAAAGTACCTTGGACCCGAGTCATGACAGGCATTAAAACTAATCACCAACATCTCATACTGTATCTGGAAAAACATTGACAGCCAGTGCAGAGACTTAATGTCGGTGATATGCCCATGATAACCCAGAGTCCAGCCTGGCTAGCTGCAATTTCCAGAGTAGGCACAAGGGTAGTCCTATGTAGAGTGCATTGCAGAAATAGAACCTAGACGTTACCAGTGCCTGCACTACTGTTTTCAGGTCACTCCCCTCTAGGAAGAGACAGTTTGTGAATCAGCTGAAGCTGGTAACAGACACTCTTGGCCACAGCTTCTGTCTCTGTGGACACCAGAAGGGCTGGGTCAAGCAGCATCCCCAAACTGTGAGCATGGTCTTTCAGGGAAGTGTGACTCCATCTAGAACTGGTTAATGTAGAATAATAGCGGCCATGAGGTAATGCCCTTTTCATGTAGGCCTTCCGAGAGATCATCCAGAGAGCTATCATTCCTTCATGTGGAACAATTTCTTCAAGCACATTGACATCTCCCCTGAAAACACCCACATTCTTGATGGGAACGCTGCTGATCTTCAAGCAGAATGTGAAGCTTTTGAAGACAAAATCAGAGCAGCTGGAGGGATTGAGCTCTTTGTTGGAGGTGAGCATTTGAGTGAATTGGGAATGAGACTGAGGCACATGTTCATTCATTCCACAGCGGCTTGTGTCTGTAACAGCCTCTGCAGACAAATGACTGTCACACGGAGTGCTCATGTCTCCTCAGGAAGTTTGTGTTATGCTGCAAGTCAGCCTGATAAACCATTGCGGGAAAAGATACCAAATGAAGTACATGCATATGTGGAACCAACAAGACATTCCATAGAGTAAAACCTGTTTTGACAGTGTGTGGTTTGCTACACCTATAGCCCAGAATGGTTTGAACACATTTGTAGGACTGTCACATGCTAAGCTTACTGCAAACTTTCCCAGTATTGTTATGTGTACCTAGTTTTCCCCGTCCCTTTCAGTTTTATGTATTAACACAGTTTTCTGGCTACTTGCTCTTGAAGTAATCTGAGCCCCAAATGAATAAAAGAGCTGCAAATGAGTGTTTTGGAGACTAGTTGGGAGCCAATAGTATCCAAAATGCAGATTTGCAGAAGTCATGGATGGCTTGCAATTTTAATGACACTGGGAGTGTCCAACTAAACTCAGTGAAATAAGCAAATAAAGTTTAACTTCGGCTGAAAGTATCTATGGGAGTCTGGGCTTAAAGTTACCTCCAGACAGAGTGGATATATTTCAAGAACAATGGGTCTAGGAATTATATCCATATTAACTATTAAACATAAGCGAGACCAGGAACAGAATCCAAACAACCACGGAATTTGTTGCTTGAGTACAATTGGATTAGATTTGACTCAGTTCAGACGTAACAGCAATTGCTGATTTGTTTAAGCCAGGAATTGCCATGGCCAAGTGAGTATGTTACTTCACTTGTCACTTCCAGTCAACAACTCAGAACATCTGCAGCACTTGAACTCAAGAACTATGATTTGTTTAACAGTTAAACAGAGACACTATAGGTGATGGTTGGGTTAACTGTGGACTTAACCCCCTAAACACCCCAGAATTCTCAGTTGTTTACTGAAAGTGGCAGCAATTAGCATATAAGAAGCAACATACTTGCTTGCTTACTCTTGCTTGGGCTTGGCAATTCTTGGGTCAATCAATCAATCAGGGCTTTGATTTCCTTGGACAGCATTCCCCATACATCATGGCAAATAGTTTTTGAAACTATGGATAGTTTGCAAAATGTTCTACTGAACTGGAGATATTTCTGTGTGAGCTGAAGCAACTCACATGTCTGTACATGTAAATAAGCTGATAGGGTCCAAAATGAACCTTGTAAATAAGCATTTGGACTATTCCAAAATTTGTCTGAATAGAAAAGGAGCATAGTTCTTCTGAAAGCAAGATGAACTTGGAACTGGCATGGCCTAGTTGTGTTGGAGAGGGCAGTCTCCAATGCAAAAGAACACTTGTAACTCTCTTATTAGGATTATGAGCTTATCATGCTCAAGTACTCTGTCATAAAATATAAACTGGAACTCTCTGCATTACAGGTATCGGCCCAGATGGTCATATTGCTTTCAATGAGCCAGGCTCAAGCTTGGTATCCAGAACTAGAGTGAAGACCTTGGCTATGGACACAATATTGGCTAATGCCAGATTCTTTGATGGAGACCTCTCCAAAGTGCCCACAATGGCTCTTACTGTTGGAGTGGGTACAGTCATGGATGCCAGAGAGGTTAGACGCACAATCAAAACCTGAGAAAGGATGATGGGAGTTGGGACTGGTGGTACATCTGAGCAGATAAATTCTGGACTATCATATATGTGGTGCTATTGCAGGTGTGTGTGTTTAATCCACTGGAGAGAAATTTTGGAGAGAAATCAGAGAACTCCTACAGGTGATTTTAACATGATCTCTGAGGAATGCCTCTAACTAAAAGTTTGCTGAAATACACTGAACTTGGAATACATTTTCTAGCATCCTGAGGAATGATCTTCCTACAATCCAATATCACCTAGAAGGCCACAAGTTGCCCATCCTTGTAGACTAAGGATGTCAGAGAAATTGGCAACAATTCAAATACATTTAATTTCAGTAGATTCAACCTGCAGATGCAATAGCTGACTGGCTTTTTCTGAGTTGCACAGACTTGCAAATCAGTTCACTCTTTAGGAGGATGTGTGCAAGTCTTGTGCTGATGCACATTTGTGACTAAAAAAATATTGTAAATTAAAAAAAATGATTTCAGCAAGGAGCTGATGGCATGAAAGGTACATAACTATCTATCAAAGATGGAATAGAAAAATCAAAATCTACATCTTTTCAAACTTAAAATCTATACATACTTGACAACAGCTAATCACCTTCATGTTTCCTCTGTGTCTTGCATTCAGGTTATGATCCTGATCACAGGCGCCCATAAAGCATTTGCTTTGTACAAAGCTATTGAGGAAGGAGTAAACCACATGTGGACAGTTTCTGCCTTTCAGCAACACCCACGTACTGTCTTTGTGTGTGATGAGGATGCCACACTGGAGCTTAAAGTAAAAACAGTGAAATACTTTCAAGGTAGGTAATGTTGGAGGCTTGGAATGGTCATATAAAGACTGCCTTGCATATAAATGGCCATTAAATGCAAAAACAACCTTCAGTAACTGAAACCTGCTGAAGATTCTATAACAATCTTCCACAGGGCTAGCCTCTATTCTTTTCTCACACTTAAAAAGATATGTAAAGCTTAGCTCATTGGTTTGTTTTTTTGAAGTAGGAAGAGTTTACAAACAAGGAGCACCTCATGAGACTAACTTGCTGTGCAGACTGTCTTGCCATGCACACAAATTCTTAGCATGGAAACTATTAATTCACTGAAGAGCTACTAACTTCCATAGTGGACTTTGGCTTGTTTTAGTGTCCCTCATTCATATTATTGTTGTACCTTTTTAATGTGGTTGAGTGTATGATCAACTGTAGACCGGACATTTTATAACCTAGCACAGCCTTGTCATCCTTGCTGGTCCAAATGTGATGATGTCCCATGCTTTCTTCTCACCACTCTTTTAAAACCTGAGCATACGTATCAAAACAGGGAGCATGTCTTATCTTGCAACCTTCTTTGGCCCAAAACAGATGGAATTAAATAATTCAAGCTCTTAGCTAGTGGTGAAATTCCTAAGTGTAGACCTTAAGTGTAGAATAAATTCCTTTTGTCTGTTCTGAACGAACTGCTAATAACTTTCATCAGGTGATTCCTGGCATTAGAAGAGGAGGAAGAAAACTGTTACTCCATGTAATTCAGTTATGTTAACTTTCATGTGTCACTAGTGATACTATTCTGAACTGACCCCACTCACCACTATTCAGCCTTTTTCTACTGGAAAAGTAATCCTCTAAAACCTTCCCAGGATTCTGCTACCCTTTATTTAGGTAATGGGTAACCAGAACTCTACACAATTGACAAGAATGCAGCTGTATCATACACCTATATGGAAATCCACCCCCTTCCCAGGGATGTTTCCTGTGCCTAATTTAAAACAATAGATGAACTGCAATAATTGATCAGGAGCTATCATCTTGCTAAGCCCACTGCATGGTATGTATACAGTGGTACCTTGGCTCACAAACTTAATCCATTCCACAACTCTGGTCGTGACCCAAATTGGTCGTGAGCCAAGTCAAATTTCCCCATAAGATTCAATGTAAATAAGGTTAATCAGTTCTGTAAATAATTTTTTAAATCACAGGGAAGATGGACATGATCGCGGGCATGCTTGGGGGTGGGGGAGACAAGCACGGTCGCAGGCACATTCAGGGGAGATGGGCACGATTACGATCATCACCTGATGCGGAGTTCGCGAACCGAGAAAATTTTTTTCCTAAATTTCTGTTCACGAACTGAGATGTTTGTGAGCCGAGGTACCACGGTATATTGTAAGGTTTACCTAAGGTGTCATACTTAGCTATTCACATGCTTCAAAGTCATATTCACTGTAAAAAGATGTAAGCATGTACACCAGTGTTAAGTTACAGGGTTGTTTACCTAAAAACACAGAAATAAGAAGGTTTTCCAGTTAGGCTCATATCCCTACACCACTGGTTGAATGAGGCTGGAACAGAACATTTGAGAGTTCTTCATCTGCATGTGATACCACCATTTTTCCCAACTCCCATTTTCTTTCAATGGCTACTCTTATCAGCTGGAGAGGAACTAAATGTAGCATCAGCATGTCAAGCACATCTAAATATGGGGCTTGGTATGGTTGTGGAGAGCAGTAGCCACACCAGTTCTAAGCTGGCATGCTGAACAATTTATTGAGTACTTCATCTTCTAAATAAAATATCTAGTGAATCTGCCACTTACATGACTCTGACATTAACGGCTGTCCTAACCAACCCTACATAAATACTTCAAAACAAGAGAGGAAAGCTCAGAGTAAGAATGGGTATAAATTATTTTGTTCATAAATTTAGTACAATTTGCACTGGAACTAAGTTCCTGTTTTGTTTTGTTTTGACATAATCAGGTTTGATGCTTGTTCACAACAAACTTGTGGATCCACTTTACAGTATTAAAGAAATAGGGGCAGAAAAAAGCCCATCAAAGAAGCCATACAGTGACTAGTCTGTTAGGATGCTGAATAACTGGCTAAGAAGATTGTTCTGTTAAACTGTTTGTGCAAAGCATCCTTTCCTCTTCTCTTGATACAAGTCTACAGCGAAACACATTCTTGGATTCAGTCACAGGAAAAAAATCTCTCCTGCTCCCACCAAGAGGTAGTAGCATTGGATGCAACTACAACAGGCATTCTCCACCAGCAAAGCACACCCATGACACAGTCCATCACTGTGTTAAGCACCAAGACCAAATGTGAAAATTGAGGCTGTCTGTTCTCCTGCCAAATCAAAGTATGTATTTAAGTTCATCATCCTGGTAACCTGTAACATGATCTAGATTTGAGCAACAAATTATGTATTATCAGGAATGGAATCTGTACAATGTGAAGCATTTGCTACTTAGTTTTTACATTAAAGGCATTAATACATGTCTTCCAAAACAGAACTGAGTTGTATTTATTCTGTAATAATTGGGAAGATGGAGCTAAACAGCAGCAGATTTTGAGCCGAGAAAATGGGTAACATTCTCAAGCTGCTATGTCTAATGTAGAAAATGAGTACATCACTGCTTCAATTCCATATGCTTCATCTTTCAAGTCATCCCAGCCACTAGAATACTGTATTTCTGAGAGACTATCCTGCTCTTGATTTCATTTGATGGCAACTACAAATAAAACTTCTAGGAGATGAGGGAGGCGGGCGGTCTCCGACTCATTCACACAGCAAGTCCAGCTGGCTTAGTGAAAACTCTTGGGTTTGCTATATTAGTCTTTAGTTCTTAAAAGATAGCTACTGGCTTTCAGTTTGTGGCCATCATTTTGAAGTGGTAGGATTCACCTATAAAGCCCAGATCAGGGGGCCAGAATCTTCCAGCAGAAGGCTCTGTTCTTTCAGGTGCAATCTGTTGGCCATCAAGTGATCAAGCCAGGAGATGACTAGAGTGCAGGTGGCAAAAAATTCAAGATGAATCCAACCGAGCATGGCTTAGAGCTCATTCAGTCCTATTCCATGGTGATCAAGGTGGCTACTAAGTATTTTTACACTGCCTGCATCACATCCTTGGAATGCCAACCAGTGGAACTTTGCTGGGTGGTTCAGGGTCTTTTACATGGTGGCCCCAAAACAGAACCTGTTGAACCTTCAGCAGCCTGCTGTGAAGAGTTTGCCTAGCATTTCGAAGATAAAATTATTTGTATCTGCTCCGATTTGGATGCCAGAGTTAGTGCAGTGCTGCCTTTGGAGGTGTCCAGTGTGCTGCCTGGTCCATCTGTGCTAGGCGAGTTTGTCTGTGCGATCTAATGATGTGGACAAGATGCTTGGCTTAGTCCTGCCGACCACTTGCTTGTTTGATCATTGCCCATTGTGACTTATTCAAAGATCTAGGGAGAGGAGGCACACATGGGTCCTGAAAGCTGTGAATGCCTCCCTGTGAGAGGGAGTGGTGCCAGCCGCGTTGAAAATGGCAGTGGTTACACCACTCCTTAAAAAATCAAATCTGGACCCAGGTGACATGAATAACTACAGCCCAATAGCCAATGTCCCCTTCCTGGGCAAGGTGACTGAGCAGGGTCATGACCAGGCAACTCCAAGCTCTCTTAGAGGAAACGAATTATCTCAATCTGTTTCAATCAGGTTTCAGACCTGGCTTTGGGATTAAAACTGTCGTGGTTGCCCTGTGGAATGACCTTTGCTGGGAGAGAAACAGGGACTGTAACCCTATTGATTCTCCTGTACCTCTCAGGGGTTTGATAGCATTGGCAATGTATTCTTCTGGAGCAACTAGCCGAGTTGAGAGCTGGAAGCACCACATTACACTGGCTTCACTCCTACCTGGCAAACCATCTCCGGATTATGGTGTTGGGGAATTAACACTCTGCACCGTAGCATTTATGTCATAGAGGGCTCAATTTTATCCCCCATGCTTTTTAACATCTACATGAAACCACTGGGAAAGGTCATCAGCAGGTATGGGCTGAAGTGTCATCAATATGCTGATGACACTAAGCTCTACCTCTTTTTCATCTGACCCAGGTGTGGCAGTCTCTTCCCTTAACCATTTTATGGACTCAGTAATAGATTGGATGAGGGCCAATAAACTCAAGTTCAATCCTGACAAGACTGAAGTACTGTTGGTGAGTAAACCTCCATTTCAAGTGGGAGATTGTAAACCTGTCCTCAATGGGGTTACGCTCCGCATAAAGAACAAGGTTTGTATTCTGGCGGTGCTCCTGAACCCAAGCTTTCCCTGGTTGCCCAGATGGACTTGGTTGCCAGGAGTGCCTTTTCTCAGCTTCAGCTGGCTCACCAACTACACTCCTACTTGGATGAGGGTAGTCTTGCCACGGTCATTCATGCACTGGTACCTCCACTTTGGACTACTGCAATGTATTCTATGTGGGGCTTCCCTTGAAAACAGTACAGACTCTTCAAATGATCTAGAACAGGCACCACAGTTGCTGACGACTATGATATGTAAAGTCCTAAATGGCTTGGGACCACATTATCTTATATATTCCTGTCCATCATTTAAGGTCAACAATGGAGTTCCTCCTATGAGTTTCTCCCCCTAAGTGGGTTAAGGGCGAAGTTGCAAGGAGGGTGCTATTCTGTGGTATGGAATGCGTTACCATCAAAGATTCTTCAGGTGCCTACTCTGCTGAGTTTTAGGTGCCTGACACTTTTCCAGCACATTTATGGCACCATTTAGATAATTTTTACATCAATTTGCACCAGTTTTAATTTATCAACTTAGGTTTTATTGTTGTTGACTATGTGTTATTTTGTGTATTTTAATTTTGAGGGTGAGTAAAAAATTATCTGCACTCTGGTTCTATTAAAACTTCTGTTGGTGGCACTGTCCTATGAGCACTTTCCATTCAAAGCTATTGTCACCCCAGTCACTGCTGTGCAGGTGTGAATGTGTTGCATCAGTTCATCTGTAATTGTGGTGCAAGCAAAAATGGGTGCCCCACTTGTGTTTTTCACAAAAGAGTAGCTTGCAGGGATTTGTTTTTTGTGGCCTGAGGGTGTACCCAGTGCCTTTATTTATTCATTCAAGACTTTGTGCACAGTATGGAGAAAGTGTTTTGTTGCAAAGAAGTGTGTATGAAAGGACAGAAAAGTTCAAGGAAGGCCGCACAAGTGTTAGCCGTCAAGGAGGCGCCAGATGCCTGCCTATGGCTGAGGACAACACTGAGCACAAATCTGAAATGATTCTGTCAAATAGACAAGTGACACTGGATTATGTGGCAAATTATTTGTAAATCAGCCATGGCTCTGCCTAGGAAATAATCCACAACAGACTTAGGGTTCAAAAAGTTTGTGCGAGATGGGTACCCAAACAACTCATGGAAGAGCGGAGGAGGAAGATTCACTTCTGATGAAGAAGTGAAGACAGCGGAGTGGTTCACAGTTCAGCCTAAAACATTTTTTAATGAGGGAATATGAAAGTTTGTTGACAGATGGACAAAGTGTATTGGAGAGCAAAATGTCAAATATGATCTATTTGTCTTTTCCAAAAGTTAATTAAAATAAATTCTACAGCCAGAGTGCGGATAATTTTTTACTTGCCCTTTTTATGTTATCCACTGATTATTTTATTGTAATGACTACCTAGAGAGCATGATGCTAATGGGGAGCCTTTAAACAAATTTAATCTATCAAGCTGCTGGGTGATGGGACTGGAGCAAAAGCTGGCAGGGTCACACCCTCTCCCCGCCATCCACCTAGCAGACTGCTAGAAGGGACTGCATGCTCTTTTCAGACATGGTCTGAACTGATTGCCCAGCTCACAGCCTTTTGCTGTGATTGCACTCCATCTTGGAAATTATTCCCCTAGAGGTATTCAGGTACCTATGCTTTCTTTCAGATGAACACTTGCCTTGACTACTGCTGTAGAAGCTGATTTTAATAGGCTTTGTGGGGAAGGGGGAAGGATAGTTTAAGAAGGGAATACATATTCTATATAGAACTAGAGGGCTCTTTCCAGCTCCTCACTCTCACAGTTGGCTCCACCGCTAGGTTGTCTGAAAGACAGCATACAGGCCAGCCTTGCCCATGGGCAAGGAAAGGGAAAGGAGGACCAGGAACTAACAACTACAGAACACTGGGACCGATTGAAGGGATGCCATGGAAGGGACCAAAAAGTGCTGCTAATGAAATGACCAAACTGTGTTTTACATAGAATCATAGAAGAGTTCGAAGGGGCCGGAAGGCCACTGGGTGGCACTCCCTGCTTAGTGCAGGACCCCAAGTGAAACCAGCCCTCTCAGATGGCTATCCAGTTGCATCCTGAATCCCTTTACTGTAGGAGAGCCCACTACCTCCCCAGACAATTGGTTCCATTGTTGTACTGCTCTAAAAGGCAGGATTTTTTTCCAGATATCTAGCCAGAATCTGGCTTTCTGTAATTTGAGCCTGTTATTCTGTGTCTTGCACTGGGGGTTGATCAAGAAGAGATTCTGTCCTTCCTTTTTGAGTGCTATCTGATCTCCCTTCAGTCTTCTCGTCTCGAAGCTAAATATGCCCAGTTCATTAAACCTGTCCTCATAAGGGTTTTGTTTCCAGTCCTCAGTTCATCTTGTTGCCCTCCTCTGAACCCTTTCCAGCTTGTCTGCATCTTTCTTGATCTGTGGTGTCCAGAACTGGACACAAGATTCCAGATGAGGCTCATACCTGTGGCAGGTTACCAGTAAATGACTAACTGCAGTCATTAGTGGGACCTCCCTCTCTCTCTCTCTCTCTCTCTCTCTCTCTCTCTCTCTCTCTCTCTCTCTCTCTCTCTCTCTCTCTCACACACACACACACACACACACACACACACAATTTTAGAGCATTTGTTGGCCTTGAACAGGATGAGCTAGTAGGATGAGGAAAATGTACACAGTGGCAAAAAGGGTAGCTTCAAAAATGCACATGTAGGGAGTCCAAATACCGATTTCAACCATCTGTGCTGGAAAATCTGAGTCAGCAAGTGAAGAATGGGCTTCCATGAAAGGTGACATTCAGGTGCAACATGCTTTTACCAGAACATACTCATAAGCCTGGAAGAGGCTCCCCTGTCCTGGAAGAGATGCTAGCATAACAGGGTGCTGTTTCTGCAGCATGTGGAACAGTGAGGAATGTCTCATTTTGTAGCAATGCACGTCTGTATCAGGCACCTGCTCCCTAAACAAGGGTTATATTCTATTTTCCACCTGTTCCTGTATCAGTTTCACTGGTGACAGGATCATTTATAAGACGAAGCATATTGTGAAATTTTAGTGCATTTGCTCAACTTTTCAGTGCTGTAGTATTTCACAAGTAGAAGAAAAGATATTAGATCACCTCATCAGGTTAAAGGCTTCTAGTGGCAGCAAACAGAAGCAATTCTATAGACATCGTCAAGTGTTTGCATCTTATCCATCAGTGTTCAAAATGAACTTGAACAAGCATGCATGGCACGACTTCATTTCTTGTTTGATGTTCTTGCCTTAAGACACCGAGTAGGGACTAGTCATCCTCATCAGTATCATTCTGCATAGCGTAAAAAAGCCTGAGACACATAAGAAAACAAACTGAGTTGTGAACAAAATCATAATCCATATTTGACAACATTTAACATCATGCACACTGAGTTTTAGCTCACTCTTTTAATGCAACAGACTCTTCCAACTGACAGCCCTTTCATATAAACAGCAGAGTCATGTGGAAAGCTTTTCTTTGGATTGTAGTACTGCCAGCACAATGGCAGAATGTTTCCACACCAAACAAAATGGGGGAAGGAAGTGGAGGGAAATTCTGCTAATAGAAAGGCAGCAGAGAGAAGGCTGGCTAGAAACCATCTCCCTTTAATTACAGTTTATAGTGATCAAGTTACATATATTATGAATGTATAAATACACTTACTATTCTGTGTGCCTAGGTATTTCATATTGTAATGCAATTGAAAAAAAATTATTTTTATTTATTTTCGATTTATATCCTACCTTTTTCCTACAAAGGGCTCAAGGCAGCTTACATCATTCTCCTCCTCCATCTTATCCTCACAACAACAACCCTGTGAGGTAGGTTGGGCTGAGAGTCTGTGACTGGCCCAGAGTCACCCAGTTGGCTCCATGGCCGAGCGGGGAATAGAACCCACATCGTCTGCGTCCCAGTCCCATGCTCTTAACCACACCACCACACTGGCTCTCAAAAATGAGTATAATTTGGTCAAATATGAAAAAGGGTGACAGGATGATCACTCCCTGGTTGATCATACAGATTTAGACAACACAACAATTCATTGTGGGTTCAACAACCCCTACAACAAGCCATGGGTTTTCAGAGTGGCTGTTGCCCTCAAACCACCTATGGGAAATTTTCCAGGACTGAATGACATGAGAACCCACTGTGGCTTGTCACTTATGATGAGTTGTGTTGCTGTTATGACCTGAAACTCTTCAACATTATGTCCCATCCTGCTTGAAAAAAGAAACTTAGCAATCCCAGAGATTTTGTAAAAAAAATACACACTGGGCAGATTCAGAGTCATGCCAGCAAATCCTGGTAATAAGTTACAGTTAGTTTTTGACCAAACAACCCATGGTGCACCCAAACGATGGACTTGCTGAGGGTTTGCCCCTCCCTCCTCAGCCTACCATGGGTATCCTACTGGACTCACAGCAGGACCAATTTGTTCCTTCCTGACCCCATTATGATTCATTTTTTGCTTCCTGAAGCTTTTTTACACTATAGTTTTTTCCTACAGATCATGATCCTCATTTGACCACCATGGAAAGCCCCCACAAAATATCCAAGCAGCACTCTGGAGGGATTGTCAATAGCTGGCAGATCATTTTTTTTTTAAGTTTTTTGTTCACAACATTTTCAGAAATGGGTTTGTTCTTAAATATAAAATAGCTGCAGTTACACAAATGCAGAAGTTCATAGTAGCACATGTGTAAGAATCTGAAGCACATGCCATGACAATAACTACCCTTTGCTCTGTCAAAACTACCCTTGAAAGGGGAGTCTAGGGGGAAAATGTCAAATGTGTTCCAGCCTGTAGAGGTAAAAAAAAAAAAAAAAAAAAAAAGACGAGGATTTTGTGATGGGTGTGCAAGTCATACCACTCCCTTTGTTTGAGCAAAAACAAATTGTGCATCTTTGCTTTCTGGCAGCTTGCCTTCTGGCAGCCTTCAAGAGAAAGCCTAAAAGGAAAAAAACTGTTGTTTGGAGCCTCCCTGTGATTCTGTCCAGGATCAGTACCTGTTGCTCTTTGGTAGCAGGTACCCCCCCCAGGACTTTGCCCAAGCTGAGGCTTCAAATTCCTACACTCACACAACTGCATGATTGCCACCAAATTTTTCTTCTTTTCTTTTCTGAAAAGGAATGAATCTATTTGTACACATTTTGAGCACAATAAAATATACTACAAGGTGCTGCTTGGGCATTCTGAATGAGGTATCAGAACAGGAAACAGCAATCTCAACAATGAAGAAGGCAATGTGCAAAAAACACACAATAAGCTGAAAACTGCTTATGATCATAGTGGGAACTGCAGTAAGCCGGCACCTGCATAAGTCTGGCAAAAGGGGCAAAGGGGCTTGGCTGCTCTTGGCAAGCTTGCTGGCTGTCCCTGATATGTATGGTATCACCCAGTCTGGGAAACAATCCTGGTCCGCACAACACAATAAACCATTGAGGGTAACAAACAACCCATGATGTACTCTTGCGCCATGTGAACTCATTCACCATGAACTGGCCAGTACTGCAACTAGAATCTAGAGCAATCTCCAAAATCGAAAGCTACTTGTTTATTCGCTCATTATTTTGCTACCTTTCTAAAGATAACCCTAATATGCGGTTGTGTTCGGATCACCCTACTAATCTGAAAACTTGAATCAAGAATGTGTGGTAAAAGTTTTCTAGATCTGAGTTCCTCCTAATACAAGTAAATACATCCCAATAGGCAGCCAAAAATTCATTTCTTTTGATATTATCTAAGTATACATACCGATCAAAGCATGGAGAGGCTGCATCATTAAAGTGCATGTATGGTGATGCCCTTGACAAAGGACGCATACAAAGCCAACAGAAATATTGCCTGCAAGCAGTGCATGTCATCTTGTTACATCCATCGAACTTCTGACAATGGAGAGAGGAAGATAAGCACATTGGCAAACAATGTTGTGAATCAATTGTGACGTATGTAACAGAATTAGCAGGTCTACACAGCATGAGGCATTTGCACTGAAAAGTGCATTTCAGAAAATATTACATTTGCTACCTGGAAGTACAGAAAAAAGTTTCTGTGTCCTTTCAAAGGGATTCATACAGATAGGTGATGATATTTTCAGGTACACCTACATTAAAGGCCCAGCATGCAATGCTATTTTTGTTTTGCTCAGAATTGCATACCCATGAAAAAGAGGCTGAATTATTCCAGCCTTCCTATGCAGGACCTCCTGTGGCAGTTTATGGTAGGTATGGAAGTCCCTATTAGTGACAAACAGTTCTTTTTGAAAGGTCACTGTAACAATCTTGCATTCATTTACACTAATGTAGGTGTCACACTCTGTACCTTTTGCACTGCATTTTCAGCCTGACCTCACTATTTAGCTCCCACCACCTCTACAGTCAAATCAAGGGGCATCATCTATAGATTTTTACCATGGGGACAGGCAGTGACCAATTCTAATCACTCCCAACACAAGAGTCTTAACGCTGAAGAGAGCATTTCCCCAGAGTACTATGAAATTTGGGGGATGGGCCTCCCACCTCAGTACTAGAAGAGGCCAGGATACAAGTGATCAGAGCTGCAGCCTTGATACCACATCACTCCTGGCATAACCTTTTATTAGTGATCTCAGACACTTTGAAATATTTCCGCCTAAAATTATCAGGCTGCCCTCTTAGGGCCTTGCTATTTAGCAAGTGGGTATGTAGGCCAAAGGTTTCCAACATAGCATTCGCAAGGCTGGGTGCTATTTATTTTTCCCTTCTGTTAATTTCATTCACTTGTACAGAAGAAAAAAAAGTTTTCCTTGGGAGAAAAAAAGGTTGTAGGAGAGGATGAATTCCACCCCTCTTCAAGGACCAGTAGGGCAAGAAGGTCCTTGGCGGTGGGGTGACCTCTGTACTTGCCTTGGCCAAGTTTCTGGCAAGGGTTTTTTGCCCTGTCCCAGGCAAATCAATGAATGGAAGAAACGCTTCATAGACGTATGTGGATGGGAAGAAGTAAGGATGGACAGACAGATGGATGGATGGATGGATGGACAGGGGAACAGAGAAAGGAACCAAAAAGTAAGTGAAATAAAGGCCAGAGACAGAAGGTAGGTAAATAAGAAGAGTCAGAAAGAGAAGAGGGAGGGAGAAGCAGGAAAGTTAAAGATAGAAAGAAGGAGCCAGAGAAAGAAGGCAGGGAAATAACATGAGTGTGAGCCAAAGAAGGAACAAATGAAAGAACCAGACACTGAGACAGGAGAGGAGCCAAGAAGAAGTAGGGGGCACAGGAGAAAGAGAGAAACCAGAAAAGACAGAAGACAGACAGGCAAGAGGAGTCAGAGAAAAAGGGAGGAAAGAAGCAGAAGCAGACAGAGAAACAGGGATTTGTGATGGTGCCCAGGATCTTTTTTCAAACTCTGAATCATGCTCATGAGTCAAAACAAGCTGGAGATCCCTGATTATATAAGGTTATGCTTTGCACTTAAATACATGTACTGAATGGTGGTTTTTCCACTTTTTACCTTTCCTAATACTAACTCAAGTATCCCCAACTTTCATAAGCCATAGAAAGTAGAGATTCACTTGTGTATAAAAGCAATTTTCGGAAAGTATGCTCCTTACCTGAAGGCCTTAAGCTATGCTCGCAAAGTCTCTCCTGAGTTATCCTTAGGGAAGACTATGCTCTAGTCCATGGGCCCTCAAAATATGGCCCGGGGGCCAGATCTGACCCGCCATGCCCATTTGGACCCGCTGCGCACCTGCCCGCCTGCCACCACCCACCTTGCCCCGCCCACGGGGAGACAGCGGTTTGCTCAGAGAAAACAATCTCCAAGCGAGCAAGCCGCTGCCTCGTGCGCCTGCCTCAAGGTGCGTGCCTGCCCCCGCCGCCCCCGTCTGCCCACGCCTCTCCTCACCTCACCCGCCTCAGTGCGTGTGCCGGCCCGCATGCCGGCCGGCGCACACCACCAATACCACCTTTCTGGCCTGCACCCAGCACTGGCAGTTTTCAACTGACCCCCCTGGTGGAAAAGTTTGAGGACCCCTGCTCTAGTCTACCCTGAGACAAGAAACACACTTGTAATAATCAAATATGGTCACGACATTTCTAGGGTGCCAGCATCTTTTAAACACCATCTGTTAAGGTATAATTAATATAAAAAACAATATAATCCAAGGAACCTAAGACAAGAAATAAAACACTACCTTTCTGCAAAATTGCTTAATGCAGTAAAAACAACATCATAGAACTTGTTTAATCTCATGAGGAAATGTTCCAAGTCTCAAAAATTCAACTGCCCACAGAAAAGGAAGTGCTTCCCTCCACTTTGCAGCTGCTCTTAGAACAGCAGTAATCATTTTCTAGAGAAGCCTGGCTTTGCTTGTGATTAATACCCAAAAGTGGAATTCTGCACAGACACTCCAAGCAGAATCAGACCTTTAAATCATTCATCCAAAAGTAGCTGAATCGTATCCTAAGAGTTCCCCGAACAAATATCTGATTCTCTCATCCAGCCACCTGCCCTAATCTTACCTGTATTGGAGTTCCACAGTGAGGACATGATTTGGAATTCTTTGCAAGCCATTCTGTACTTTCCATCTCCTCAAGTGCTTTTCGAATCACTCCTTTCCCGTAACGTTTTTCTAAAAACTGTTTTGTGACTTCATCAGCTTCAAGGTACTCACGGTTTAAGTCTATTAACTTCTCTAAGAGAAATAATGGACCAAAATGTAAAATGCATTAAACCTTTTAAAATTGTATTATACAAATGCGTCTAACACTAGCTTAACACCAGTCTACTCAGAAGTAAGTTCCATTGATTTCAGTGGGTAAGTGGGCATGGGATTTTAATTCTAACTTTATTTCTTGAACAAATCAAATGTTACTAGACAATATTCTATATGTACTCTATACATTATAAAGCAGTGTTAAGAGCTAAAACATTTTCTATTATTCTTCCACACCTTAAAATTAACTGAGTTCCACAAAGTGCCACTGTAGTTAAGTGCTTATTTTGATAGGAATATTGAATTTACACCAGAAGGGCAGAGCTGTTTCATTCCTTTTTAAAAAACTGAATAAGCCTGTTTCTTTCTATAACGTATAGCAGAGATCTCCAACAACTGGCTGCAGGGCCCAATCCCCCCCCCCCCCAAAAAAAGCTGAAGAATGGTTGGTAGGACAAATCCAGCCCCCATCATCATTGGCGTGTGTGTGGGGGCTTCATCTTCCTCATCACAGCTAATTTTCAGCAGGGAGTCCTTTTCTCATCCCATGCAAATGATTGGAGAAATGTTCAATTCACTTTTATAGCAATGGGGAGGGAGAGGGGGGAGGACTAGGGTGGTTGGTGGGGGCGGGGAAGAGACCAGAGAGAGAATGATGGAAAGGAGGAACCAGAGAGCCAGAAGGAAGCAAAGGAAAAAAACAAAGAGGAGTCAGTGTGAGAAAAGGTGAAAGGCAAATGTGTTAGAGGAAGGCTGCAGAATTAACGGCATCCTTAGAGAATTCCGTATCAGTTATCATATGAATGATATCCTTGAACAATAGACTGCCTACATCTGAACCTTCCAGCAGGAAAAGTTTTCTTGGCTTCAACTCACCAGCAGTGACTTTACAGGGGGAGACACCATGGTAAGTCATCTTACACAATGTACAGAAAGCATAATTGCACCTGGAACAGATGCCCATTGTGCAACTTGGCTCCTGCATCACTGGTGTTTGGCAGCACGGACGTGGGCAATTTACGACATCTGCCATCAGATCCAAACTTGACTGAAGCAGCAGACGATCATAACGGGCAAACAGCTCCTCGTCCACCAGCTCCTTCACCTAGAATAAAAGGCGTCAGTAAAATATAGCACCATTGAATTTTGGTTATCAGAAAATGAGGAAGCCCACAATGGATGCTGTGACCAAGCAACATTTATCCCACAGAATGCTTATAGAAAGAGCCAGAGGCTTTTTGAAAAAAAAAAAAAAGGCTTAAAAAAAAAGTGAAACTATTGATCAGATGTTCTCTTGTAAGAATTATAGGTTTATCATAGAAAATTCAGCTTGCAGTGCTGGCAGGTTAGTTCAAACCTAACCTGGAATTTACCAACTTTGCTTATCAGTATCTAAGTTTGTCTATGTGGCCAAGCTATCAAAGGACCAGGTATTCCAGAAAGCAGGAAAGATTCACAATTGGCTCCAAACAGCACATCCCTTCCAGTTTGGCAAGTGCTTATATTGTAGCCATCTACCCAGTCATCTACTGCAGAAAACTAGTATACACTTACATTAGTGGTTAAATCAAGTGCAAAGTAATTCCACAAATATTAAACATTAAGTAATACACTTTGTTAATGAAGGATCCAGGAATAATATCTGTCTGTTTTAGTGTTACTGATGCAACTGTTCTTTACAACCACAATTCTTTTGTAAGTAAGTGGTTAGATATGAAACTTGGGCTTTCTTTTCTAGAGGCTGCTCTGCCTCCATTGCTTTCATCACACTTACACAAATGGGTGCTGGCATTTCTGTGACCTCTGCTGACCTGTCATTTTGCAGAAACAAGTATTTGGGAGGGTGTCAAAGCCCCTTAACTTAAGTGATGGGTCCTAAGAGCACGCAGGCCCAACAGGCTACTACCAAATATATATATATATATAGATATAAATTTGAAGGAACTGCTCACAAACAATTTTTTTTTTTACCTGACCAGGAGTAGCAACAGAAGGACACTCAGGCTCTGGACAATTCAGGCAGTGGACCTGCCCATCTTTGATTTGAATTTCAAAATAGTCCTTTAAGCAGGACTTACAGTATATATGCCTACAGTTTATAAAGTACATACATTCACTTCCCAGCTTTTCAGAAAAACAGATATTACACATGTACATTTTACTGTTGAAGCACTTTTCTTTTTGGGCCTGATCAAAGTCTAGAATTTCCCTAATCAAACTGGATAGAGACTCAATGTCCTGCACAGCTCTTGTATCAAGGACTTCTTCTGGTGCTGCTGTAGCACCTGATTCGCCAGCACAAGCTGCCTCTTCATCAAGCCTGTAGTGTTCCTTTCCTTGTTCACGTATCTTTGGCTCATATGGTGAGCTGATGTTGAGATATGCAAGTGTTTCTTCCTTCAGAAACTGCATCCAGGCAAACAGGACGACAGAGCCTCTGTTTTCTTCCCATAAGTTGTCTAAACGCTTGCAAAGAACACTGAGCTAGAAGAGAGAGAAAACAGTAGCAACAGAACATCTTCCACAATTCCAGGAACAATCATAATATGCAAAGAGAAAAAAGTATATTCTCAGTGCTGATGAAACTATTTTGTCATGATTTATAGTTCAACACATGTCAAAGGATTAATCTCTCCTTCCTCAATAGCAAGAAGCAAGTGAGGTTGTACAGTCTGTTTGTATATTACTTAAAAGGAGTAGGAAGCACTGCTCAAAATTATTGCTCCTGAGGAGCAAAACATTAATTTTCTGAAATGCGTTGAGCTGTAAATAATGATAATGAGCACTGTTTCATCAGCACCAGGAACAAAAACCACTTTTCCCCTCTTTGGCTATTAGATGCTGTTTTTCCCCCTTCCACTCTTAACAATCATATGATCACCTGGATCAAATTATCAAAATAACCCATCATAGATTATTTAAATTGTAGGGTATGCTGGGTACATGAGGGGCACAATATCCATAATCACAACCTGGGTGTGGCTTATCATGTCATTTGAACTTGGTGGCATGGCTTGTTGGAGAAACAACCCTCCAATAATCCTCCAACAACCAAAGTATAAACCAGCCCTCTTAAGACAGTCAGATTTCAAGTTTGGAGAACAGTTATTAAAATAAGACTGTTCTAATTCAAATTTCTCAAAATAAACAGGAGAAATTCATACCCTAATTCAAAACATACTTATTTCAAGATAATTTATCAATAATATGAATAACTGCTCTACACTTTTATTCAAAACAAAAATCTACTGTGTTGAATAGAACATGCTTCCTCACCAGTATGCCTGGAGCTTTAGCATATGGACCTTTTATTGGATAATTTAGAACTTGAGAAACACTTTTATTAGTGATCTTGAGAAACACTTCAAATAACTGTATGATTTAGCTTTCAACCACAGACCTTTTAGCTTTGAACTACATATATTCTGTGTAAAAGTGCAGGAAATCCAATGCAGTACATATTTAAATGCATAGTTCTGGTTTAAACACTGCATGAAAATCATGTTCCTTTACCATAAAGATAACCATCTTTTTGATCTACCATGTCATATGGATATTGGTATTTAAAGTATTACTGCAAACTCAACCATAACTGAACTGCAAGTAAAAGAACAAGTCCACTGGACAACTATTTCCATTTAGATAGTTATATGGGTATAACATGCTATGTCTAATACTTCCAGCTCAAAGTCATTTGCTATAATGTCATTTATATTTTCGACTTTGGAATTTAGATAAGGGTCTTGGTTGCTTCTGAAGTGATTCAAAATGAGCATCTTTTTTAAAGCACCTCCTAGAATTCACTCCTATTCAAACCATTCACATGAGAAATTGCTGAAGAGAGCAGTAAGTAACTAGTCATTTTGAAAGGGATGTCTCACCCTGGCAAAATCAGAACTCACAACTTTGTTTTCTATGGGAGACTTAACTGAATGGTCTTTCCCAAGAGATGGATACAATCAGATGGACTTCTGAATGCTCTTGGGGATTTTCCAGGGGAGTGAGTGTATAATCCAGCCAAAGCCCTGGGTTTGCTGTGGAATACTGAGATGTGAAGGGAAATCAACTTGAAAGCATCTGGGTGCCCTTATGGCACTCTGCTCCTTGGAATACTGGGGAGGTGCAGACAATGAAACAGGCCACACAGTGGCTAAAGTGCAATTAGAGTAAAACTCAATATGAAGACAACCAAGCATACATACTCTGAAGCACATAACTGGGCTTCCTGAACAGCAGTGTGGACAGACAAAAAGGCTTATTTTGCTGCCTCTGCCAAGTCCTTGAGGAGCCATCCAACAGAATTCTTTTAGGAGGTTCCATGGCTAACACTCTTTTCAACGATCCTCTGTGACCTTTTCGTATCACACTTGAAAGACAAAACTGTTCATCTCCACACAGAACTTGCGGGAGTTGCTAGCACAACTCTTGCCAAGATATCTGACACCACCATCTGCCCAATCTGTGGTTCCTGCTCCCTTTAAACAAGTCCATGATTTAATTATCTAATTTTAAATAATTTAATTTTGCATTTTGATTCTGCTTACTCTTTTTATTGTTCATTACTCATAAATACTTCTGCATGGAGAGCACTATATACATTTTGTAAATACATAAATAATCTCACATCCCCTGAAAGCTGATACAATTGACAAGATACTCCACCACTTAAAACACAGAACCACTGGAAAGCATGACATAAAGGTAAGGTCATTGTACAAAGTGCAATCCTGGAACCAATTAGGTGTACTCAAAAATGATAAAAGTGCTTTAAGACTAGTGAAAATTTGGGTGAAGCTTCTAAAACGAAAGCAAGAAAGGCATTTAATTTGATAACCTAACTTCTTGAATTGACACATCTATTGTTTCATCAATAATTTGTGAGCATCCTTATTTTCCCACAGAAAATATACACACTCCTCTCACTCTCTGGCAATATGCAACTGAAATAAAGTTGCAGTAAAGACACTGAAAGCCAGATAGATCCACACGTGTAAGATTTTAATATTTTGAAGAATATGTTTCTTTAATGGATTATGAGGGGATCTTCAGCCTTCTCTTTCATGAAGCAATTTTTGCATCACAGATGCCGAACACTGAATTTTTATTATTCACTAATTAAAGCCCTCAAAACATACTTTGAAAACACATGTTCAAAGAATGGGAGTATCAGTAATTTCCTAGTTTGGATAACTAGGATAATCATTTAGATTTAGAGCAGCCTTTAGAACAATTTAAAAAGTCTTCTGGTTACATCATTTAATTTTAGGAACAATACAATTAGGCACTCCCATCTTACATGTCAGATTTATCAGATATATTATTTTCTCCAGTTAAATCTGGCTTTTTGTTATTATTGTATGTAATATTCCATTGGCTGTCTACGAATAACAATCAACCAGAGTGTTAATCGTTTTAAAAAAATATTTTCCATTTCGGACAACACAAATAATAATTTGGCCAAACCTGAGCCCGGGAGAGCCACTTGCTACTGAGGGTAAATACAGGTGGAGAAGCTGATGGATAGTTTGCTGGGAATTCAAAATTCAACACAATTGGAGGTAAGAAGCTGACTGTGCACTGAAACTTGCTGTTCTGCAGATTCTCTGCCAGGTGGTCTGAAACAAAATAAATCTGATAGTGTCAGGGAGATGCAACTATAAACGATTCTATGTAACTTTTCTGGGCAGAATTCAATGAAGCATTTACACTGCTGCTGATCCTTTGACCTTCCAACTGTATTGCCTAAGTGGCCTCCACCAGTTGTGCAACAGCGATAAAGAGCTTCCATGAAGAAATAGGGAGAAGCACTGAATTCTGGAAGGAGGCAAATCAGCACAGCTTGTATAAGGGAGTTTTGCTGCCCTGCCTCGGTCCAGAAAGAAGCATTCCTCTATGAAGTGCTGACTCTCCCTTAAGTATGCACAATGTATTGCTTACTGAAGCGGGTCAGCAGGGCAGAACAAAATGAGCAGATGTAGGTGAGCCATGTTGCGTTCCGCCCTATGAAATGATTCCCATAAACTTGTCCACTATCTGAAAACATTTACAGGTGATTATTAAGAATACTAATCTGGTTCAGACACATCTGACTGTTGACTTGCAGGCTGCCACTCAACATGCATGCTAATTAACTCCTCCATTTCCTGGCTTGCCATTTCCATTGTTTGCCATGATTTCAGGCTAACTATTGGTGCCCCTCTGAGATTATCACGGCTCTTGTTCAGTGACAGGATCACATCAGCGTAATCCTACATTATAGCAAGACTCATCAATATTAGATGCAGAGCTGCACCAAAACAGTTGAGTTTCAGGGTTGGAAAGAGATGATTATTTTGTAGCATATTTTAAATATGTACCTATTTCTGAAATCGGAAGGTATAGATTGCTGTTCAATGACATTTCTTGTTCCATTTTTAACACTGGCTTAGAGCTTACTGGCACAGAATCTTAATTATCATTGAAGCAGTATACACACACACGTTCTGATATTAAATGTGGGCTAAGCTATGCAAATACTAATATTATGTGCTATTAAGCTTTTTATTGAATACAGATAATCTTAAAAATTTACTACTTTTAAAATTAAAAAGTAGTAAAAAAGAGGCAGAGATGAGGGTAAGACCACTCTGAAAGCTAGCAACTGTCCACATGCAAGGTGTTCTAAAGCCATTCTGCCATGTTGGGGTTACCTGTGCTGTCAACAAGATTTCACATCACGTATGTGGAATAAGTTGTGTCAGTACAACTGGATGCATTCTAGAATGATTTAGTTTCTGTGACACACAAAACTGAGTCATGACAAGGATCTCTACAACCCATAAAAGTTTCATAAAGGTTTAAAATCTGGGATCATCATCACCACCACCACCGCTATCAGTTTCATTTCTGTTTTGCTGTTGTTGTTTAGTCGCAAAGTCATGTCCGACCCATCGCGACCCCATGGACAACATTCCTCCAGGCTCTCCTGTCCTCTGCCATCCCCCAGAGTCCACCCAAGCCCACACCCACTGCCCCAGTGACTCCATCTAGCCACCTCATCCTCTGCCATTCCCTTCTCTTTTTGCCATCTATTGTTCCCAGCATTAGGCTCTTCTCCACGGAGTCCTTCCTTCTCATCAGGTGGCCAAAGTATTTGAGTTTCATCTTCAGTATCTGGCCTTCTAAAGAGCAGTCAGGGTTGATCTCCTCTAGGACTGACCGGTTTGATCGCCTTGCAGTCCAAGGGACTCGCAGGAGTCTCCTCCAGCACCACAATTCAAAGGCCTCAATCCTTTGGCGCTCAGCCTTCCTTATGGCCCAACTTTCACAGCCATACATTGCAACTGGGAAAACCATGGCCTTGACTATACGCAGTTTTGTTGGCAGGGTGATGTCCCTGCTTTTTAGTGTGCTGTCTGGATTTGCCATAGCTTTCCTCCCCAGGAGCAAGCACCTTTTAATTTCTTGGCTGCAGTCATTGTCTGCAGTGATCTTGGAGCTCAAGAAAATAAAGTCTGTCACTACCCCCATTTCTTCCCCATCTATTTTCCAGGAAGTGATGGGACCAGATGCTATGATCTTAGTTTTGTTAATGTTGAATTTCAAGCCAACTTTTGCACTCTCCTCCTTCACCCACATCAAGAGGCTCTCTAGTTCCTCTTCACTTTCTGCCATGAGAGTGGTATCATCTGCATATCTGAGGTTACTGATATTTCTCTCAGCGATCTTAATTCCGGCTTGTGATTCATCTAGCCTGGCCTTTTGCATGATGTGCTCTGCATATAAGTTAAATAGGCAAGGGGGCAATATACAGCCTTGCCATACTACTTTCCCAATTTTGAACCAATCAGTAGTTCTGTGTCCAGTTCTCACTGTTGTTTCTTGACCCACATACAGGTTTCTCAAGAGACAAATAAGATGGTCTGGTACTCCCATCTCTTTAAGAACCTGCCACAATTTGTTGCAATCCACACAATCAAAGGCTTTAGCATGGTCAATGAAGCAGAAGTAGATGTTTTTCTGGAACTCCCTAGCTTTCTCCATGATCCAGCGTATGTTGGCAATTTAATCTCTAGTTCCTCTGCCTCTTCGAAACCCTGACTGTACTTCTGATAGTTCTCGGTCCACATAATGCTGGAGTCTACCTTGTAGGATTTTGAGCGTAACTTTGCTAGCATGCAAAATGAGTGCAATGGTGCGGTAGTTTGAACATTCTTCGGCATTGCCCCTCTTTGGGATGGGAATCTAAACTGACCTTTTCCAATCCTGTGGCCACTGCTGAGTTTTCCAAATTTGCTGGCATATTGACTGTAACACCCATAGCTCTGGGCAATTTACAACAATCCAGAAAAACAAAACAATGACATACAATTCTAACACCATAAAATAAAAGCAGATTTTAAAAATTAAAACAGCTAAAATTTACAGTTAAAAATGACCCTATTAAAAAGTGAAATACCTGGGAGGGGAAAGCGCAGTGGTCAAGTAAATGTATAAAGGCCGCTGTATAAATGACTGTCTTAAGTAGGTGCTGAAAATATGAAACGGTTGGTGCAAGTGGGCCACAGGGAGGAGGTTGTTCTACAGATGCACCACCACAGAGAAAGCCCTCCCCCTTGTTGCCATCTTCCAAGCCTCCCTTGGCGTTGGCACTCAAAGGAAGGCCCCAGAGATTGAGTGTACTGTCTGGATAGACTGTGGTTGGGAGAGGTGCTCCAAAAGGTATTATGGTCCCTTGCCATGGAAAACTTTATAGATTAAAACCAGCACCTTGAAGGGGGCCTGGAAGCATACAGGCAGAGAATGCAAGCATATTAAAGCATATCTTCTTCAGCAAGAAGTAGTCCTTCTAGGATTTGTGACCAACTAAAAGTTTCAGCAGCACAGCATACAGGCTTCTGTCTGGAGAGGTGGCGAAAGAATATTTTAACTAAAAATATGTACAGCATGTCCCACTCACACAACCTGTGCACAAAAAAAAAAAGTGTTACCTGACCTGGGACATAAATACAACAGATCTATCTTTTGGTGTGGCACAGCAACCTGATCATACCCCACATTATCAAGACAATGAATGTGGAGCCTTTGCTACATATCCACACTGGGCCACTGGGTGAACCAGCTCCTACCAGCTGAGGAACACAAACTGGACAATGTGCAACATATGGCAGTAGTACAGTAGATTTCAAGAAGCATTTCCTTCTACCTCACACCAAAAGAAAAAATCTTGACTCACCATTCACACATACAGTAAAGTTTGGAGGCAGGTCAACCGAAATTCTAGTTTCTCCTCCCTGCACAGACTGTGCTCTCTTGAATTCATCTTCATCATAAATACTTGCCAATGCAAGAAGCTCATCTTCCTGAGCTTCTTTGTCCTCTGAAGACATTTAAAGTTCCTGTGAATAGTAAAAACATCCCCAGAATGACAACTTTATTCTTACTATAATTAGAAGTTTCTATTAGAGTATTGATTCAGGTCACAACTATTTAGATTGCAGTTAGGTGCAGATGTCTGGAAGCTTTCATTTCCATTTTAATGCACATGTAGTTAAGCATTATAGCTAAAACCAAACAAAATGTGTGCAAGACTCATGAAAGACTTAATGAAATATCATTGTGTACTGTTAAACTGGAACCTGATCACTGTAAAAAAAAAAAAGCTCTTCTTCTCTTGTATGAAACTGTGCACTACACTATTTCCCCTCTCCATAGCTGCTAGGGACCAAGCTTTCCCATTACAGCCCACAGCTATGGAATGCCCTCTCTAGAAAACATTTCCTTGCTGCCCAGTCAGACTGTTTAACCTCTTAAGGTTTTGCAAGTTGTAAGTGTAGACACTATCATTCTGTTTATTTAGTTGCCATCTGCTCTGCTGCTGCTGGACTTGTATTAAAAAAGCAATCTTTTAAAGTTTTAACTTTCATAATTTATTTTGAACTTCTAAGAACAATTGTATGGTATCAAAACCACCTTGAAACTCTTATGATAGCAAAGCAAGGTATATATATGTAAATAATAATGAGTCAACATGACAAGTCAACATTAACACAACTTGAAATAAAAGTAGTTACATAAAAGGTGTGTAATATCATTGATCAATTGTATCCTTTCCTTCCTTCAAAGAGATTTGGTTGTGAAAGAACTTACCCAACAACCCTGTATGGTAAGGTAGATGGATGGCTGCTAAATGGCGTTGGTTTCCCAATGATCTTCATGACTAAATGGGTTTTGGAACCCAAGTGTTTTTAGGCTAATACAAGGGGCATTCAATGTATTCTTGGTATTAGCATGAAGAAAATGAAATAATAAATTGAAATAATTTTTATTTTTCAATGTAATCCCCCATAACTTCAATACACTTATTACATCTAGAAATTAACTTTTCAATCCCCAGTAAAAATTACCCTTCCTTCTTGTCTAAAAGATGTGCGTTAATTGCCACCTTGAGCTCTTCATCATCAGAAAATCGCTTTCCATGAAGATCTTTTTTTAAATTTGGGAATAGGTAGTAGTCACTGGGGGGCAGGTCCAGGCTAAAGGACGGGTGGCTTATTTCTTCAAAACCACAGTCTCACACAGCAGCCTTCGAAACACGCACCGTGTGAACGGGTGCATTGTCATGAAGCAGCAACACATCTGCGTTCAGTTTTCCCTTTTTTCTTTAATTGCTTCTCTTAAATTATGCAGAGTGGTTGCATAAGATGCTGTGTTTATGCTTTCACCTTTTTTTGTGTACTCAATCAATAAAATTCCCTTTGTGTCCCAAAACACTGTGGCCATTTTTCCAGCCAATGGAGTGACTTTGAATTTCTGCAGAGGGTCAGCATCTTTTTATGCCACTTGCATGGACTCCTGCTTACTTTCAGGGTCATAGTGATGAACCCAAGTTTCATCTCCAGTAACAATCCGGTCGAAAATACTCGATGGATCTTCAGCACAGAGCTCTAAAAACTCCCTACAGCACTCGACTCACACTTGTTTCTGAGGTGCCATGAGCATTCGCGGCACCCATCTTGCACAGACCTTGGAAAGGTTAAGATGGTCATGAAGAATAGTAATGGTACCAACGGGTAGGTTTGTTATCTCTGCTAACATTTTGATTTTTATTCGGGCATCTTCCAATACAAGTTTCTCAATTTTTTTCACATTTTCTTTCATAGTGGCAGAAACTGGCCCGCCTGAGCGGGTTAAATTACCCACATCAGTAGCAAATCAACCCGATACCAAGAATACATTGAACGCCCCTCGTATGTCACCCACTAAAACAGATTGCTGCCTTATCCATCCATAAAAGTATTCCACATGACTGTAGAAATATCTTCAACATACTACAATTATATAGTAGTAGTATATACAACTACATTTTCTGGATACACTGTGCAAAGATGCCCCTTACCCACATCAGTTTTGTTTTACTATTTCAGCCTAATGAGCACATGAAGATCATCTTTTCGGTTCTATTTGTCAAGCTATTCCTTTCCTTCAAACACTTTCTCAAATCCACTTCTCTTCTGGGTCATTATGGCTTTTATTCCTTTACACTTCCTACAACCATTTAGCTCTTCCTATTCCATCCATTCTCACTTCCCTCCGAAGAATCTCTAATCCTCACCATGTATCCACTTTAGGCAAGATTTAATACCTTGAACTCTGCACAGTACTTAATATAACTCTGGCACAAAATAAATGTCAAAGAGCAATAGGAGGGATAGACTGGGAAAAGAAAACAATGGGCCTGTATCAAATGGCAGACAAATGTAATCACATTCATTTCTATGGTGCTACCTTATGTTAAATATTGGATACAACCCAACAGTCCTCTTGTCTTCTGTAAAACGCCATGTACGATGCTATATAAATAACTTAAAAGTAATGGTAGTATACATACAATATATTTTCTTCCATTTTAATCCTTTTTCCTCTGGTTACACACAAGAAAACACAAGCTGCTCCAATTCATAACATGCTTAAGTTTCATTTTAGTGAGAAACACCAGAAACAAAAATTATGCAGAAATTACTAGTCCATAACATTCCTAAGACATTACCCTCTGAATAATGAAGCTGTGACGATATAAATTTTTGCTGAAGACAAAAACCATAGTGACTTATGTTGCCTACACAGAACCGGTGTGGTATAATATTTATTTATTAAAAGGAAATGTAAAAATCAGCATCTTACCCCCATTTTTACAAATACACATGGCACCCTACTAAAATACACTGATGACAATCTTGAGCTCTGCTTTCAGTTCCAAACAAGAATTGACTTTAGTAAGCACCACCTCACTAAGTTTGACGTTTATGTATGTGACTTTACAAGATGACAACCAAATTCAGATACTAATGGAAAAGATGTTTATCTACACAAAGCAAGAAATACAAGCATATTAACAAGGCAACAAATGATCTATTGCAAATCTTTATCCCATGTCAAAAGTTATTAGGAGCGAAGCTTCCCTCACAAATATTTACCAAGATTCTGAAACATACTTAATTAAAAGAAGACTAATATGAAAAATATGGCTGCTTCTTGCTAGATAAGCTTGACTGCACTGCAATCCACCTCATGACAGCTTACTGGAAGATGCCTCACAACAAATGAGGAATGGCCTTCACTTTGTTTTCAAAAAAGCTGTCAAATCTCACCTCTTTAACCTGGTGCTTTAAAATTCCTTCTAGTGTTTTCTGTGGTGTTAATATTTTTAAATGGTGTTATTGATTATTCTGCATTGCTGGGAACTATCTTGATGGTTTTTAGTAAAAAGGTGAGACACAGAGATATACCGAGGTATAAATAGGTCTATAAATATATACTGGAGTGCAAAATAAACTACATGTTTGCAATAGCAGTAATAGTGATAATGAAGATGATAATAACATTTAGCTTTTTCCTTGATACTCAAGATACATCAAAATTATTGTAAAACATAAAATCAACATTGTGTTTAGGAACAATTCCTCCTTGAATCAAGTCAGATTTCCTCAACACAGCCTTTCCCAGCTTGCTGTTTTCCAGATTTTTTAGACTACAACTCACAAGATTCCTGACCAGGAACAATGCTAGGTACTGAAAAGATCTAGGGCTCAGGCCTGTAGACAAAAAAATTGCATGAATCTGCAAATATGCAAACATAATTAGAAATATTCCTATAGTTTGAATTTTATAATAAACACACTAATTAATATAGAATATGATTTCAGCACAAAATTCTGCAAGTTCCAAATTGTGCTTGCTTAAGACAATGAGCCAACACTTTGTTTGGGTCTTTCAAGATCAAAATGTGGTAAGGCCCACTTAAAGTGCCTAGTAGTCAGCAAAGCTATTCAAGTTGCTTCAGCCTCTGAGGTAGAAAATCTCATGAACACCTATATTTTCCTGGCAGAGAAAATAAATGAATATTTGCTACCTTTTCAGGTTGTCCCAAATTAGCTATGTCTGAGGCTGCTGTCTAGAGCAGCAGTTCCCAAACTGTGTTCCATGGAACCTTAGGGAGCCACAAAAGCCTCATAGGGGTTCTCCAAAAAAACTCAAAACTCAAATTTAAAATGGATTTTAAAATCAAACCACACAGGGCCAACTATTCAATTGCCAATTGGTATCCAAGCAGTAAACAAGGAAAGGCATCACTTCATTTGGTTCCTAGGACTCTTTTGGGAATAACTGAAAGAATTCATTTGGGATATTACCATATAATTGCTTTATTCATTTGTTCTATTTAAAATGTTTTCTTTTTATTTCCAAACCTACTATGTTATGCAAAGCACTCAGGCAATAGGAGCAGAAGAAAGAAGGAAGAACATTGCGGGTTCACAATGCCTAGTAAAAAATCTGGGATAAAGTTAGGGTTCCATGGGGGGAAAATGTCTTCAGAAAAGTTCCATGACTGAAAAAGTTTGAAACTGCTGATCTAGAGAATGAAGTGTATGTGCACGTCTCTCTCTTGGACCCTTTCTTCCATGGGCACCCATATTTTAACAAGGGATGTGTGGTCAGGTGAGAGAACAGCATTTGATCACAGAAATAAACTTCAGGAAGATTAAAGGGATACAGCAGGAGAAGCACACATGGAGAAAGTGCCAAGAGAGTTATAGGGTAAAGAAATATATTGCAAGCCTGTTAGTGTGCTTTGCTCTTTTCCTGCCGTTTTCCTGATGAGTGCAAAAATATGTGTAAACTGCACAGAGAGGCTTCAGGCTATGGGGAAATACAGAAATAAAATTAATAAACTAATCATCAGAGATCATCAGCATCCCCACACATTTCAGCACATGTTACATTTCTCCATTCCATGAAAAGCAGTATCTTTCAAATAACTTTTTATTCAGTGAGCTCCTGCCCCTGAAAAAGTATTATGCCACAGTAAATTAGTGAATGACTTCTGTGATATTTAGCTTCTGATATTTAGCTTATATATTCTCCTCCCATATATATTCCAATTTCTCTAGCCTAGAGAAATCACTACATGCACTGTGGAAAGATTACATCCCAGCAAGATGACTGCAGAGCCAAGGCACTCCAGACACATTCATTAAGCTGTAAGCTGTACACTCATACATTAGTTTGCCCTAACTCAAACTTTGCTTCTTATTCATACCCTTTATGCAAGCAAATCTGTCTATTTGCTCCGAATATAAAGGGCCTGGGCCACCTTGGAGGAAGCAACAGGTGAGGAAGCTCTCTGGTATTCAACTCAGTATGTGAACAGCCAATGCACCAACTGTTTCTCTTGTCCAGGCCTCACTAGCTAAAGACCCAGGGAATAATTACAATTGCCCAGAACCAAGTGGCTGGGCAGATCTCTGCAAGCCAGGCACTTTGATAAAGTCAGTTAACAAGTGATGCTTTGGGCAATTTAGACTTTAGATTTAATGAAAATAATGAGCAGACCACGGAGGTAAATCTCACGCTAGTTTAAGACTGCTTATCTCTGTTACACTCCTTACTAGTCTGCTACGAGAGCCAGTCTAATGTCTCCCAGTAACCAAGTTCAGGGGGTAGACGCAAACTTGTATTAGGGCAGGTGAGAGCAATTGGGAAACCTCTAAATATTATGAGCATTAATCAAAAGGTCCACGGCCCTTGCCTGGGCGAACTATGAACTCAAACCGCGTCTACCCCCTGGTCATTAGCCATACTAGTCAGGGCTGATGTGAGCTGTAGTCCAAAGCTGGGGAAGGCTGCCCGGGGCGGTACCAAGTTGTCCATCACGTCAGGCGCCGAAGAGCCGCAAAACCTGAGGAGCGGCCCCAAAGGTGCACCACGCCCTGCCGCTCGATACGCTTCCAACCGCCCTGCCATGCCTCTTCTGAGGCTTAAACCGCGCGGCTCGGTGTACGGTCTCTTTCGGCACACGGGACTCCCCCTGTGCCGACATCCAGCCTGCCTGCAGCTCGTCCCACGGGCTTCTTCCTCCCAGGAGCCCCTGGAGCGGCCGCCCAGCTCGCCGCCCGCGCCCTGCCCGGCGCCCCCACTCACCCACCGAAACCGCCAGCCCCTCCCTCGAGTGCCCGGGCGCTCCGACTCCAGCGACGACTTCCGCCACGCGCTCCTAAAGCGGCCGGAAAAAGGGCGGGAGGGAAAGTCACGTGAGCGCCGCGGCTTCCGGCTTGTTGTCCGCGAGAGATTTCATGGAGCGCTGCCAGATTTGCATTCCTTTGAGCGCTGGCTTTGGCTGGCGTTCCTGGAAGTAATTTGAATAATCGGAGCCTAGCGAAAGATTGGTGGGAGGCGGCGCATTCGCAGGCTATCTTGAACACAAATGTGTGTTGATTCAAGTGTAGTAGACAAAAGGGCCCTGTTAGAAAAAATGAAATGTTTTATTGTGTACGAGTAAATGTCCTACTTTTGTTCTGCATTTTGATAACGAATGGAGAGCTGTTTCGGTGACGTGTGTTTTACCCATAAAGAAGGGATAGCCTAAGATTTTAGGAGGGCTAGCGTAAGTCTTTCTCGTCCTCCGCCCCGCCCAGGACTGCAAGCGTTACAAAATGCCTGAGTTCACCACTGCCACCCCCGAATATGCCATGTGAGAGTGACATGGGAGTGCATTACATCACAGGTTTATCATCAATCACACACAGTGTGATAGGACATTACCTTAAATAGTAGAAGTGGTATCTCGCAATAGTTATCATCTGTAACATGCACTTGTCCTTATACTGTCTCACCCACCTTTCTGCAAAATGGAGACACTATGGGATAGTTTATTCTACCACAGAGAACTGTCCATCAGGTTTTTTTAATATTGAAAATTGTATTAAATTTTCCCTCAGGACACTATCAAGGTTTGGAAAAGCATGACAGAACCAGTTGAATTATGCATGAAAAGAAACAGCAGTGCTGGAAATCAGTGTGTGAGTTGCACTGTACTGCACAGAGAGCAAAAAGAATATCAGTATAATTTCTTCATGTGATCAGTAAAGCAGCAAGATTCCATACTTAATTTTTTTTCCAAAGTTCGACAAGGGGGCACATCAGAAGCATTATGTATGGAAAACTGTTACATATGAAAGACAGAATTTTCATTAGATTTCAACAAGCAAACTCAATCTTTCAAAGCAGGAGGGGGCACTCAGATGCCTTCAAAATCTGACCCAGATGGCTAGGAAACCTCACAGAGTAGATGTCAAAATTACAGGGCCAGGAGGAGAAAACGGGGAAAGCCCCATCCCACTAACTTCAATTAGCACAATTCTAGATTCAACCCATTTAAATTTACAGGTTTAGGAAGCTGTGTGGATACCTTATTAAAAGTCATTGAATGGCATAGTCTTAATATGAAAATCAGAGCACGTAGTTAATCACATTGGCTTCAGTAATTTTAAAATATTAAATATATCAGAAATAAGGATCAAGCTATTGGATAACACGCACCCTAAATGAGATGTAAAAATTATTTGCATCTACTGAAGGTGTGCTGCAAATACCAATATGTCTGAATTTATACTTTCAGAATGGGAAGTAAATGTTAATAAAGTTATGAAGATAAAATGAAGACAGAGTATAAATGAAGGACAATCATGTGAGCTGCCTTGGGTTTCTTTCAAGAGGAAAAATGGTGTGATACATTCTAGATGTTTACAATTTGAAAGCTAACAAAATGATTACTAGCACTTTAGAAATACCAACCATAACTGGAAATATGAACCAAGTTGAATGTTTAAATTGCTGATACTTTAATTCAGGGAATAAGAAGTCTGAAAAAGCTGAAACTATGCATCTCCTATCTTACTTCTGCAATTTAAATTGTCACAGTGACAATCATATTATGCACACATGCATAACCCAGGGATGGGCATATAAAGTGGAAATTCCAAATGCTCTCTGTGCTTACTAGAATAAGAGTAATTAAATGCACAGAGTATGATCCTGAAAAGTACAATAACACAAAGCCCAAATGGAAAAGATGCTATATGTACTATACATAAAAGCAATCATAAGCTATGATAATTGGTGACAATGATGTATTCATATTGAAGACTTGAGCAAATCCTGTATCAGAGGTCAAACCTTTAGGAATAAAATTTTAAAAGACCCAATTAAGTTGCGACAATCCAGAGGCTGGACATCAGGAAAAGCTTCCTCACTGTTAGAACAATACGACAGTGGAACCAGCTGCATAGAGGCGGTGGGCTCTCCCACACCAGAGACATTCAAAAAGAAACTGGACAGCCACCTGAGTGGGATGGTGTAACTTGGTGTCCTGCAACAGCAGGGGGTTGGACCCAATGGCCCCTCTCAACTTTACTATTCTATGCATTTTATGATTCAATTATACTCCATATGGAATGTAACAATGTGCAAGTCAACAGGTTGAACCAGCAGAGCACTAACAAATCTTGATCTGATAATGAAGAGTGCAGTGGCACAGAAAAAAAACTACAGGAATCTGAGTGAAATTTCAGGAAAAGTTTTGGATTACTTTGATTACTTTAATTAAAGTAATTAAAATGTATTGTTATAGCTATATGAAACATCAGTGTGGAGGAAGCAATTTTGGGTAATGACAGAGAACTAAAAGTACAGGCCACTAGTCACCTGAAGATCAGTTGAACAGAGTTGCAGTGCTCAAGTTTGTTTCATCTTCAGGTCTCCTGACACGTTAATTTTACAATTTGCATCAGCAACTGTTAAAACACTTAAATTGTCTAGTAGTTACAACAATAATGCAAATAAGCGGTTTAAGCTTTTGTTACTTAAGCAGAAGTAGCCTAAAAGAATTTCCAATTCCATCAGTTAAGCACTGATTGACATTTTATATGAAGCATTTGTTCGCAATCTAGGATGAGGGAAGGGGCAGGGATTCACATGGAGATGAATCATGCTACAGCAGTCAGTCAAGAGACAGAAATGAGAAGCTGTGCTCTCAATGAATTACTGGAAGCCCCGTTCAAAACCTTTAGGTAGGCATTTGCTATGCAATCCTGTACTGCCCATTTAATTTAAGAATGGTGGGAAATGACTATATATGAAAAGTGCCTATAGGATTTTCTCCAGTTTCACTAGAACTAGTGTATTCCATCATCCCTGTACCTAAGAACACTTAGGAAGGGCATCTGCTTATTTGCTCCTTCAGTTATCATAAGCAGCAATCTGAAATCAACATGCCATGCCACAAATAATTTTCCACCTTACTGATTTTTTTAATTTTTACTATTGCAGCATGTAGATGAGTTCCTCTACTTTCACTGCCTTTACCAGCACCATGTTTAAATTTCTACCTGTTGTTTCATCCCTGGCTACATTTTTCTCACGCTGATTTGTCTCTTTATTCTAGATAGTTCTATCTTCCATTTTCAATATCTGAAACACCCTCGGTAACATGCTATTTAAATCTAGTTTGACACACAGAATTCATACATGATAAATAAGATAGCAGTTTATAGAAATGCATTTAAGATCAATACAGCAAGAACAGAGCCCTTCCTCTAGTAACTGTATAACAGTTATTCCATCCAAATAATGACACTTTTTGGATTTAAAGAAACTAGCACTGTTTTCAGAAGAAAAAAGCTGACAAAACATTGGGGCTTGCGAGAGCTAAATAATTTATTTCATTTGAAGGAAAGGGTTGGAGCTATCCTTAACAGACAGCAGTTGAAGAACAGATAGAACATGCCCCCCACAACAGCAATAATATTCTGAGTTGTCATTTAAACTTAAGGTATTCTTGGAAAGCTCTTCCAACACATAAGCATTGTTTTTTCTTTTGACTGAAATCTGACGATTTATGGAGGGAAGAATAACTCTTTGAAATTTCCGTACACCATCAGTCCCGTGTATATTAGCACTTAACTGGATCCAAGCACTAGCTTGAGGTCTAAGGTAAAAGCTGTAAGGCAGAACAAAAATGGCGTAACTCATGTGTGATTGTAATATGCGATAGATATATTAAAAAATTCAGTTTTCTAAACAAGTCCATTTCAGGTTGTTTGGGTTTTTCTTAAGATACACTATTGCAAAAGAAAGATTCTGAATTTCTTTTCCACTCTCAAGAATTTGATGTCTTTCACCCATAATCAACAGTTTAAAAATCCAGTCCAGTCCAGTGCATTTATTTCTTGCAATGTGTATGGATGTTTCCAATTTGATTTCAACACATACAAGTTTATAACAATTATCAATACTAGAAGAAACACAGCCAAAGTGTCAAGAAGCACAGGAGAAAACTGCCAGACTTGTTCTTTTGTTGGAAGTTAAAGATGAGCACTTCAAATGTAGGAAGCAAATATTCTCTTCAAGGTTAGCAACTAATCAGAATCATCCATAAGTGCAGACAGATAGCAGTATTTCTTCTTTTTCCTACAAGCAACTACTTAAACTAGAGACAAAAATTTACACAGCATTTCATATAGTTGGGGAGAATTTACCATTGGCATACATATTTGCATCTAATGGCAGATTTTAGGTATATACTGGCTACTCAGCATATCAGAAACGATTTGATAGAATGTCCAAAGACATTAATATTCATTATGGAGTGTGGACATGAACTGGAAAAAGTATTCCAGCCATTTCACTTCTTTCCATTTAGCACAAACATGTAATCTGACCTAAGGTGCCATATACCTCACATAACTATGAATAGTACAATGTGAAATGAATTAAACTTCCAGCTAGAAAACATGCCATTATTGTTTCTGTAATTGCAAAAAGATCAAAAACTTGTACTTTTATTATGCTCCTGTGCAACAAAACCAGAACTTCAAACATCTCTTGCACTTTTCTGTCAATGGATACTTATAATGCAGCAGTTGAAATCCACAATAGCAATCTAGTGGTAAATTAAAAGAACAAAATTACTTTCCAGTTGCCCTCGCTCTTTTCAAAAGGGGACTCACCGCAGGTACAAGATTAAACTGAGGAGTAAAAAGCTATGACTTTTTGCAAATCTATTAATTACCTGGGGAGTCTAATATCATATGAAAAAATACTGAACTTATCCAACTGAAGAGTTCGCTACCAAAGAGTTAAGATGCTTCATACTGACCAATCCCATCCCAAAAGCACACTGTGAGAAAGTTGCAGTTCTCACTTGGCTCCCATTTATATTCAAAACATGAAGTTGACCACTTAAAGCTTTATTGTAGTTTCTAATATAAACAAGAGCTGGAATTCAATCAATGTCCATTTCAGGGAGTTTCTTTTCTGTAGATGATGGGGCTGGTGAATCAGTACTCTGTTCAGCAGTCTTAGATCCTCTGTTGCCATCACCCTGCCCTTCTACTGGCCCATTCTGTTCTGCTGGTTGCTGATCTTCTTTTGGAGGTTCCACCTTGGGTTTCGGTTTGGTGATTACAGGATTACACATGTTTATCAGTTCCTAAAACAAACATGTTAGAAATCCTTAAAATATTAGGAAATAAGTACTTTCATTAATAGATTGCTATCCAATAGATTATTAAGGAAGCAGATAAAAGCATATGTGCATGGATGAACTCATTAAAAATAGCTTGTGACCTATTTTAAATAGCTTTGTAAAACTCAGTACCACAAATAGGCTAACAGAAGGCATCATGCAACACTCTCAGCTTCAATGCTCTCTCCCTCCACCTCCCCACAAGGTGAAAGATTTATTTACTTTTGTTTTTGCATCGATCTCCTTAGCTGTGATAACAGGGTCCAAAGTAAGACTTCGTTTGTTCTGGAGATTGAGCTTGTTGTTCATCCATTCCATTGCCTCATTGACACTCTTCTCCACTTTGGCCACTTCTGCAGGGTCTAAGTGGTCATACTGCTCTTCCTAACAAAAAAGTAGAGTATGAATTTGTATAGAAATACAGTTCTAAACTTCATTCTTTTAATTAAAACAAAAATGTCAGACTTGGCCTGGCATTCTGAACTGAATGAATGAAACATGACATGATACTAAGCAAACAGGAACAACATGAAAGATTACTATCACATGGTATTGACCATAATGGGTTAAATTAAGAAAGGATAAATAGCAAAACTCTCTCCTCTCAAAAGCAAACAAAGTGTCTGAGCATAACTGCCCATCACTTGGAAAGCCAATATCTCCCTGAAAAGGAACATTTATTCTTTAAAACTTTGTCACTGAAAATGTTCAAGATAATTTTAAACCTTTTGTAAATAAGAAAAACAACGTGATGTAAAAATACCTTTGCTTTAAACGAAAGAACAGCTTTCATATATTGTTGGATTTGCTTTCCAAGCTCTTCAAAGGCTTTTGGTCTTTCTTCAGATTCTTGAAATCGCACTTGAATAGGCTGTCCCACAGTCTGAATTGAAGAAAAGTTGTGAAATGACACATTAATTGCCCCATCTTTGCAACTTTGATTCCATGGCATATTAATTTAAAACTCTTTGTTGAATCCATCCTCCTGCGTTTAAATTGGATAATAATCAACTTCAGAGCAGTGATATGCACATGTGAGCAGAAGGACTTCTTTGTACCTCAGCAGTTTTCTCTAAGATCACTTATCTGAAATTCTTTTTCAAAGCAGTTTGTCTTTAGCAGCAAGGAACTATTGCAGCAGCAAAATATAATTAAGCCTCATATATGCTATGGGGTTTTTTTGCATTTTTTCTTCCTAATTGTTTACATCATAAACATTACCAATTAACATAATTAAACAATATATTAATATCAGTACTACCTCCACGAGCACCAACAACTCAGTTACTTAATGTAAGATCATTTATTCATTCAGGTTGCCCCACTTCCCCTTCCAGAACTGCACTGACTCTTGTAGTGATTCACTCCTCCTTCCTTTTATTAAAACGTATTCAATAGAAGATCTCCAAATACTTTCAAATTTGTTTCCATTTATCAAACCTTTTTTCCATTATTCCACATTAACAGCTATATTCCAGACTTCTTTATACCAATCAACTATATGATATTCACATTTTATTGTCCAATTCCTTGGTATTACTAGTCTTACTGCAGTTAATACATTTTTCATCAATTCTTTAGTATTTTGTCCCATCTGTTCTCTAAATAATGCTAATCCAGGATTAACTTCAATATGTAACTTCAATATTTTACCAATTTCTTTAAAGATTCTTTCCCAAAACTCATTTATATATTTACACTTCCACCACATATGGAAATATGTACCCACTTACTGGTGGCATCTACAAAAGACACTGAATATTCATTATTCATGTATTTCAATTTAACTGGCGTTAATTACCATATCCAAACCAGTTTATAAAAATTCTCTTTAATTCTTACTGTCATAAATTTTAAAATTCTCTTGTCCCACATGTTAGTCCATTCTTCAGCACGAATATTTCTTTTTAAATCTATTTCCCAAGACTCTTTAAGAGGATCATATCAATCTTCCTCTTCTAGTAATATGTTGTAAATTTTACTTATTCCTTTCATCCACATATAATTTTGCATAAAGAAAAACAAGATAATATCTTCAAATTTAGTATACTCTGCATTTACAATTTTTCTTCAAACAATTTTTAGTAATCTAATTGAAGTATATCAATTTATTTTACTCTGCCCCAGTGTTGCTTGTATCATTTCTTTACTCTTCATTTTCTCTTGCCAATCTTTCAACCTAGTAACATGTTTACTCTTCAGTACTTCCTCAGATTCGCTGAGAATCTTTCTAATTCCATAATTGGATATAACAGTGAAATCAATGGGATAGATACCTCTAGGAGGTGTGTCCAGAAAGTAATGAGAATGTTATTTTAAAAATTCTTTTACTGAAAAATTTTACAATTGAACATTGTCTCCTTCTAAGTATGCACCCTGTGAGTGTACACAACACTTCCAGAGATTTTTCCATTCTTCATAGCATCCCTGGAAGTCTTCAAATGAATGTTATCCACACTAACAAAATTCAGTCCTTTCAAACCATTCTTCTTTGGGAGTATGAAAAAGTCGCAAGGAGCCAAGTTGGGGCTGTAGGGTGAATGAGGAAGCACTGTGATGTGTTTTTCAGCGAAAAACTCTCTGGCAGCCAAAGCACTGTGACTCGGTGCATTGATGTGATGAAAGATCCAAGTTGAGCCGATCTCAGGACACACACAAAACACTGTCTCAAGCAACCAAGACCTTCCAGGGGAAATCTTTGATTCACAGTTTGACCAGTAGGTACAAATTCCTTATGGACAATTCCACGTTATTTAAAAAAAAAAATCCCAGTGACCACTGATGTGACTTTTGATTTGCTCATTTAAGCTTTCTTGGGGTGAGGTGATGAGGATGTGTGCCATTCTCAACTTCATTTCTTCATCTTGGGATCGTACTCAAGCACCCAAGATTCATCTCCTTTGATCACTCAACTCAAAATATCAGGCTCTCTTTCCAAACTGGGCAATAGGTCTTGGCAAATGATGGCATTCCTTCTGATCAGGTGACAAGTTCTGTGGAACAAGTTTTGCACACACTTTTCTCATGTTCAAATCCTGAGTCATGATTTCATGAACGGGAATGACTTGGTAATTGCTGTTTCCTCTGCAATCATTCTGATAGTGAGCCATCAATCACAATTGAGAACAGACTTCATTGCACTCACATTCTTTTTAGACAAAGGGGGGTCCTGATCAATGTTCATCTTCAACACCTTCTCGTCCTTCCCTGAAGGCCTTGTGCCATCAGTATGCTTCTGCAGATGATAGCACAACTTCTCCATAAGCTCTTTTTACCAATTCCAAAGTTTCTGATGCACTTTTAGCCAATTTTACACAAAATTTTATCACTTACCACTGTTCCAAACTCACTTGCATTTTTCTTAAAACAAGGCACTTGAAAAAGGTGTCACAAAGAAGAATGGCCCAACTCTGACAGGGCTGGAATACAACTGATCAGTGTTCTAACATATGCCTGGCACCCCACCCCATGTGACCTTGGCCAGCTTCTCCCTTCACAGAGCCCTTCTAGAGTGTAGGAACTTCATTCTCATTACTTTCTGGACACACCCTATATTTATTCCAAATTCTGACCATATGCTTAAAAAAGGGTTTCCTATCTTCAATAATCTTATTGAAGAAGGATACTTAATAAGGATCCCTCTATATGTTGATATTCTAATTTATCCCATATTATCTTAACCGGCTGCAGTATAATATCTGGAATATGCCTCATTTGATTAGCTATGTAATAAAATTTCACATTGGGAATACCTAAACCCCATTTTCTGGGGCATATACCATCTTTTTAAAAAATTAATCTTTGCTTTATCCCCATTACAAAATGTATTAATGTCATTTAATATGCTGATGACACCCAGCTCTACCTCTTGTTTACATCTAATCCAGGTGAGGCAGTGGCTGTCCTGAACTGGTGCCTGGCGGAGGTAATGGGCTGGATGAGGGCCAACAACTGAGACTCAATCCAGATCAGACAGACGTCCTTTTGGTAGGTGGTTCGGGTTTTCAGGTAAGTGATATTGGTCCTGTCCTGGATGGGGCTGCACTCCCTCTAAAGGACAGGGTCTGCAGCCTAGGAGTGCTCCTCGACCTGGAGCTCTCCCTGGAGGCTTAGGTGATAGCGTTGATGAGGAGTGCTTTCCTTCAGCTTTGGCTGATCCAACAGCTGCGTCCTTACCTGGACGAGCACTGCCTGGCAACAGTGAAATATGCTCTGGTAACTTCCCAGTTGAATTATTGTAGCATGCTCTACATGGGGCTGCCCTTGGTTCAAAATAGAGCTGCCAGGTTGCTGACGGGGGCCAGCCATTATTCTCATATAACGCTGGTCCTCTACCAGCTTCACTGGCTCCCAATTGAAGTCCAGGCCCAATTAAAGGTGCTGGCTCTAACCTATAAAGCCCTAAACAGCTTGGGACCAGGATACCTTAAGAAACATCTCCTTTCCTACATGCCCTCACGGTCCTCAAGATCAGCAGGAGAGGCCTTGCTCTGGGAACGCTCTTTGAAGGAAGTACAGAGGGTATTTACCTGGAGGTGGATGTTCTCTGCAGTGGCGCCTAGACTATGGAATGCGCTCCCCAGAGAGGTCCGCTCGGCGCCAACTCTCCACTCTTTCCAGTACCAGGTAAAGTTAGCCATCATTTTAATAATTAAGGATTTTAGATCACAGTCGCATTTTCTTTTTTTCTTCCTTTCCTCCTTTTCTTTGGTTTTTGAAAGTGTTGTTTCAGTGTTTTCAAGTGTTGAATGTTTTAAATATTGGTATTGTATTATTATATTACTATTTTAACCTTTTGTAAGCTGTCCTGTGGTGTATTTTTTTTTGCAAAGGATGGGGTAAAAAAATGTTTTAAATAAATAAATATTGATCATGTTCTGCCATTCATTCAAATCTTTTTCTGTTAACTTAATTGGTAACATCATAAACAAAAAAAAAATTTTATGCTATTCTATTAAACTATGATAAACCAATCTTGTAAAATTAATTCATCTTCTCTTTCACGTCATATTTTAACTTACCAAAATTATTCTCTTTTGAACATTACAAATTTTTGTATTATTTACTCCTAAATACTTAGGGGCGGCATAGAAATGTTATAATAATAATAATAATACATATCTTATTTCTTTTAATCTCATCCTTTTCTACTTTATTACAATAACATCATTTCTGATTTATCCCAATTTACTTGTAAACCCATTATTTCTCCAAATTCTGTTAAATGTATTTTAATGTGATCCATAAGCTTAACTGGGTCCTTTATTGTTAATAATGTATCATCTGCAAATAAGCTAATCTTAATTTTATTCCCAGATCCTATTCCTTCTATTAAAATTATCATTCCTAATACTATTTGCCAGCAGTCCTATAACTAAAGCAAACAAAATTGGAGAAATAGGGCAACCCTGTCTAGGACATTGGCCTAGGGATATTTGGTTTGTTATACCATTATTTATTATTACTGTTGTAAAATTCCTTGAGTATAACTGATTATATTTCTAAATTGTTTATCAAATCCCATTAATTCTATTAATATCTTTATTTGTTGACCATTCCACACAATCAAAAGCTTTAACAATATCTAATGCTATTATACCAGCTTTTAAGTTTTTCCTGTATATATATTCAATTATGTTTAATACTCTTCTAGTCAAAGTGTATATGAAGGTTAAGGGCTATACACAATGGTTCACTTAATTAGGAAGCTGCTTTCAAACTCTGCCAAAGTTGGTAGGCTAAAGAGTTGCATAACTCTTAAGTGAACGGAGCTTGGGTGTTTATGATGCTCATGCAAACCTCACATATTTAAAGCAACCATGGTAATGTCAACATTTATAGCATAAGCAATTAGGATAACGTGAATAATCATCTATCATCCCAACCTCCATAATAGCTGGTTTACATTTTCTTGAGAATTTTCCCAGAGCAGCTTTTTAAAATGCAAGGAACTTCCTTCCATGCAGCAGACACAGATTCCTCATGTGAAAAGTTTAGACAATTGTGAAGTACCACTTACTTTCAGTTCTGCCAGTTTATCAATGTATACTTGTTTGGGCTGGTCTTCACCCTCTTCATATAACCAATTTTCTGTATCTTCCAACTTCAGAGTAAAAGTATTACGATCCTGAAGAAAAGTAAACAAAATACAGATCAAAGATTTTTCAATAAATTATGCATTCAAATATGATTGCAGTAACATGAATTTTCAGTTCTAATCCTCTAGAACTAAATACATTTTCATGTTAGTGCATAATTTAAACTCACTCAAAGAATTGCAAATGCTTACTGATCCCCAAAGCTTTAAATGCAACTTGAAAGCATGTATGCAGGTTGAAAAATTGTAGATAGCGAGTAAGCAGGCAAAGCAGCTTTGGATTCCTGGGAGCAGTGAGTCAAGTAAAACAAGGGGTGCAGGGGAAGAACAGAGCACAATCATGGTTCTTCTAGTACTTGGCTATACATCTTTAGTATGAAAGTGTGAAGTTCTATTATATATTGGGTATACGATGAGGAAACTGAACAGAGGATGGACAGAACAACATGTTCAAATATCTGTATGAGTGCCTTATTAATGTTTCAATTTACATAGTGTTCTGTGGTCAGTGAACTGTGGAAGCTACTGATGCTGACATTAGATACTCTGAGAGTAAGACTTGTCTTTCTTATCTATGAAAATTGTCATAAACAATACCTACCTCTTCACTAATAAATTTTTCATACACGCTACAAAGCTTGTCTCGCATTTCATAAACATACTCCTCAACTGCATTCTTGGCATCATTCCGTTCCTTCTCCAGTTTATCCTGCATGATCATTTTACCCTACAGGAAACATATTTGTTATACCATTTTTCAGTTAAGCAGAGATTGTAACTGAGTACTTTTGTACATGCATTATAGGCACCCCTAATTTAAGCATCAGCCACCTATAATTTGTAAAAAGTATTCCTCTATTCCCTTTAAGTGCATTAGACTGACTTACCTCATTCTCAATAAATAAGTTTAGCATGTCCTTTCCTATCTGCCACACCAACTGATTCTCTATAGGAAGGTCAACTGTTGTTGTCTTTACTTTAGCTTTCTTGGCTTGAGGAGGTTGATCTGTTTTCTTCTCTTTTGATCCAGCTTGAGATGTCTGCATTAAAACAGGGTTCAGAATACACACACAAAATGTGACAAATTCTGTTTTGTAGAATTCTCTGACTCCCACCCACACTAAGGCTATCACTAATTTCACTAACAGATCGAGCATAGTAACAACTACACTTAAGCAAGTGCCACCAATTTTACTAGGGCTTAGGCTTTGGTGGACATTTTTTCTTGAAGAGATGTAACGCTGCTTAGACTAGTGTATGTTATTTTAGCTTCTTATAGTGAGGTTATAGGGCCTTTTGTTTGTGTAAAAGTATTTAACTGTAAACAAGCATAGCACATAATTTTTACCTCCATTTCCTCAGATTCAGTCTTGTTTTCTGCTTGAGCTGGCTGCTGATGTTCCTCAGTCTTCTGTTGCTCTTCCTGGTCAACTTGCATTTTCTGAAATAATAAATGCAAGTATTAATATGGGTTTTCTCATCTATACTCCTTAATTATGATCAACTAAAAGACAATTTCCTCTATACTTGGACTTCAGAGTCCTCACCCTACCATATTCTAATTACCAAGCTGTACAAACTGTTAAGGAAAGAGTAACTCTTAATTTCAGGATGGAAGAGAAATGCTGAGTCTCCAGATGCTACTTGTCATAGTTCTACTGCAATTAGCTCTCTGAGCACTTCAGCACTCCAAGGGTATTATAGAACAGGGCAACTCAACTGCCACTGGTTCCACTGTCCTTGCAGGATCCAGTGTGCGCGCCAAAGGAAAGTAATGCTTCTTGATGTAAGCCAGGAAATGAGCTGGAATGCTTGCTTCTGAAATCTTAATGGGCAGTAATGCTCCATTGATCTGCATGCTTTTGGAAATGAGTGTTTTGACCCATTTGTTTACTTTAGGAGCTGCTGGGTTTCCACTGTGGAAGCAGGGATTTCCCCTAGAGGCTCGGTAGTATTGGGTGCGGCTGAAAAAAAGTAGCTCAGAACCCTAGTGGTGTTGTTCAGCAGGGATACTTTAGTGGCAGCTAAATTGTATACTCCTTCAACTTTTGAAGAATATTAATAGATAGTGAACCAACAGAAGAGGGGGAATGATGGTCAGAAATACAGGCTGCCATTTGCAGAGGATCAGCTCGTACAGGTTTACTTTCTTGAATCTACATTTTTGTAATGATTATCAAAAAGTTCTACATAGCCTGCTTCCATATACATTGTAAATATATGATTGAAGCTAATCATTAGTAAATATATATAACCTTTGCTAAAAGGATTGTTTAAAACCAACAGCATATATAGACCTTAACCTACAAAATTCTGTACGTTAATCATTCAAATCAGTCAGGCTAGATTAGTAATACACTGCTATAGTAGATTAGCAATAGCATCCAGCAAACCCAAATTACCTCTTCCTCTTTTGCTTGCTGATCTGTTTCCATGGGCTCCTCATTGTCTTCTGATTTATGAACTTCCACCAGTGATGCACTTGAAACACTGAAAATGCCGTGGATGTTTACTCTGACTTTTACTTTAACTTTTGAACTGGATCCATCAGCTTGTGGCATTACCTTCTGAACTAAAAACTGAGCTAAATAAGAAAATCAGGCAATATTTTCATTAAAAAGAACTCAGAAAGCTCCATGTGGATTAACAGAAAGCAATTGACTGAAACTAGCTTTTCCATTATCAATATTTAAATTGCTTTGTTTTAATATTGGTAGCTTAAAGTTTGCTAATTTAAAATTACACCCATCATTCTGAGATTCAATTCAACAAAAGAAACAACTGTTAAATCATTTCATTGATTACTTACTAAATGTCATATTTAATCCAAGCATGTAATCTTTGGGGTTTTTTTTAGTAGGTACCAGTTTATCAGCATAAATTTTACAGAGACACACACATGCACACACTAAGTAAGTATGCACTATCACAGCAGCTCACGGTGGCTTAAGACATGGTGGGTCGCAACACATATCAGTGGCACTTCAACATTCAAACTGTGGTAGGCTAATAAGGTTCCATTCCTTATTGTGCCATCCAACACTGATGAGACTGGTTTATGTGAGAGTTAAACAATATTTGCAGAACCCTAAAGCAGCTCGTGGGTTAGGCAACTGTTGTTTGGATCTGTATCCAAATTTACACAACACAATTAGTCATGGTAACTACCCATTTTAACTGAAATATTAGAGATAGCCATCACAACACACCAAAATCCACCATGGCTTAAATTTATTTATTTGTATTCCCTTTTTTTTCTTAAAAGAAACTCAAAGCGGCTTACATTATTCTTCTCCTGCTGCTCTCAATCCTATCCCCACAACAACCCTATGATATATGCTTGGTGAGAACCTGACTGGCCCAGAGTCACCTAGTTGGCTCCAAGCCAAGTGGGGACTAGAACCTAGATTGCCTGAGTCCCAGTCCCATGCTCTTAACCACTAAACAGTGGCAAGCATGTGAACCAGTCCACTAAGACAGCATCGCTTTTTTATCATTACATACCTATGGCAGGATTTGGATAAGGCAATTCCTTAGGACAACTATAATAAGCTTCCAGAGTGAAAGGTTCCTTCCTGTAGAATGTGAGAACCTTGGAGAATGGAGCAGCATGATTCTTTGGGAAAACTTCACAATCACTATAGAAAGCAAGAATAAATTTTACTTCAACTAGATAAGACCATTTTTTCCTACAGTTCAGATACAAGTTCTGTTTAGTGAGCCCAGAAAATTATGGGCTCACTAAACCACAACAAGATGTCTCATACAACAGTAGCAGCAGTTAAGAGGAACACATTGGCAAGTTATCAATAATAATATTCAAGTATTTTCATATGCAAATGTTTACAGAATGATAAATTAACGACCACTATCAGCTGTAATTAAGTCTTCACAAATGCATTTAGTGTTGAAGGTTTTACCTTATTCCTTCTTCTGCTGGGGAATTCCATTTCAAAGAAATAGGATACGGTACTAAATCTGTGATAGAAAATTCTCTCACTTTAAAAGCTGGGGATAGAATAGCACACTGTAAGAAACAAAATATTAAGTTAAGTCATGCAAAAATCAAACTACAAGTCAGCTATAATCTCAAAAAAGGATGATTTAATATATATTGGAGGCTTGAACTTCAAAGCACTGTGGGTTTTTTAATTAATATAGTACATTTCTGTAGAAGCTTCTTAGAAGTAAATCCCATTGAAGTCAATTAAAGGAGTACTCCAGTTGTCTGTGAAACCATAAGGTACTGGGGACCCCCTCTGAGGTCAGAGACAGTGTTTCAACTTCAGGGGAGAGAAGTCATACATCCACCCGATTTCCTTAGAACTGGTGGGGACATAAGAGCACTGGCTGTGTTTGGAGGTAGGAAAATCAACCTTAGAGGAAAAAAAGGGGGAGATTTCATTGTAAAAGATTAGCTTAGGTATTGTTATAGATTCTGTGGGCAAGATAGCTGCAATTCTTGTACTGATTAGTCCAGGAATTGAGAACCTTTAGTCCATAGGCCAATCTGGAATACGAGACTGGGCTATTTGGTTCCCTGGGCCTTAGACAAGGCCCAGTCATAAAGGTCTATTGCCTACTGAATCTCTGCTTTTACCTCCTATGGGACATTCCACTCCTGCTTCTGACTGGGAGGCAGAAGAGCTTCGAAAGGAATTGCTGTTTTGTCTGATTAACGGTAACAGTAGTTACTCATTTCCCCATTAGTTTCTCTTGTCCTGTATTCTTCTCAAAAGTAAGTCTACCATGGCAAAGCCAACCCCCCACCTAAGGTGTCAGCTAGAGGAGATTCTAGCCAGTGCCCTGATCAGAGCAGCTTTGCCAGTTCTATGTCCTCCCCAAACTGGCAAACCAAAGTCTTAGCTGAAGACACTCTAATAGGCACATTGGCCAGGAGGCAGATGACCTCAGTGATTGTGGCTACATCCACATGTCATCTAGTCCAACACTGTCTGAGGATTCTTGATTGACTGAACAAATTATCTATTGAGCTTGCAAAGGTCCTTTGGTAGCCATTTTACCCTAACCAGAAGATAGGCTATAAAGATTGGCTTTAAATGGGTCTATGGGATTAGTACTGGTACCCTCCCTGAAGGAGGTAAAGAGGTAAAAAGGACATCTATTCGGAGTAGGGCCTTCTCTGTGGTGGCACCCAGATTGTGGAATGCGCTCCCCAGAGAGGTTTGCCTGGAGCCGAGCCTATATTTTTTGGCACCAGGTCAAAACTTTTTTATTCAAGCGTTATTTTAAAAATTAACATATTAATGGTTTTAACAGCCACTTTTGATTTATTTTTATTGGTTATATATTGTTTTATTATATTGTGGTATTGATTGGTTTATTATATTCTGATTTTAATGTTGAAAGCCATCCTGAGATGTTATACATGAAGGATGGCATATAAATGTTTTAAATAAATAAATAAATAAATACTACTACTACTACTACTACTACGCAGAAAACTACAAAAATGCATTCCTTTCCAATCACTTAATACCTTTTTCAAATCAGCCACATTACCCTCATTAGAAGCTCTCAAGAAACTAGAATGAAATTAACATTGAACAGAGAGTTAAATTCTAAGCTTACAAGCGATCATTATTACCTGCAGTGCACAGCCTCGTGTGACAGCTTCATCAGCATTCAGAGTTGTACTGACTTCTTTACCAAAAAATTTACTGACTCGCTCTTTTACAGCAGGTATTCTTGTAGTTCCTCCTACAATTTCTACTGCATAGATGTCCTCCTTCTTTAATTCTACACAAATTTAGATAAATATTTGAGACATTCCAAGGCTAAAACTCACATGCATAAGGAAAATTCCGCTATCTTCAATGCTATTTGTAAGAACATTTTAGCACTAAAACCAGAAGCAACATACATTAGGTTAGAAACATGGTGCTCAAATTACCATTAAAAAATTTCAAGAGTGTATAACAGTTTCAAAGCAGAGGGTGAAGTCTACCAGTTGGATTTAAAAAGACCAAAGTCTTTGGAATGATTCTCCAAGTCAAGAAGAATACCATGCTATAAGTCAGGGGTCCTCAAATTTTTTGAATAGGGGGCCAGTTGAAAGGTGCCAGCGATAGGCACGGGCCGCCAAGATGGTGCAGGTGGGGGGTGTGGGCCGGAGGGGGGGCACGTGCATGCGCGCAGAATTGCAGGGGTATGAGTGCGCAAAGATCATTTTCTCCCAATGAGTCCAAAACAATCTCCTTGTGAGCAAGCTGGTGCCTTGGGGCTGGCTTGCTCGCAAGTAGATCGTTTTGGACTAGCTCAGAGAAAAGGATCTCCCATCAAGGCACCCGCTTGTTCGCTAGGAGATCCTTTTCTCCAAGCCAGTTCAAAAATGATCTCCTTGCGAGCAAGCTGGCACCTCACCACACACGTGCACGCGTGGCGAACTATGGAGGGTCGGATTCAGCCCCCAGGCCATAGTTTGAGGACCCATGCTCTACATACTCAGTGGCACTAAAAAGCCTCTAATTCACACAATATAGGCAGCATTTTTCAACTGGAGCATACTTAATTGCTAGCCAGTTATTGCATCAGCAATTAAGAAGTGAGCTTACATTAGGCTTAGCTTTGTTTTAGCCAATCTAAAATAGTATATTGCTACTTAAGGTATGAATGTTTTTGTAAATATTAGCAATGCGTATAAGGAAACAATCTGTATACAATCCTGAACAGGACACAATCCGAATTTATACTATTTTGTTTAAAATATTTGTAAGGTGCCTTTTAAGACAATGGCAACAAGACAATGGCCTCCCACAGTGGCCAACAATCTGGAAAAAAATCAGTATCAAACAAATAGTATAAGGCTTTAAAGTGGACTATTTATAATGCATATATTTTCAGGTATCTTTCATCAGTAAATACTGTGAGCCAATAAACCTTTTTAATTTTAATTTTTTTTGCAAATTGATAGTGCTGGTACAGAGTTGCCACACCTAAAAGTAATTACTGCTTCTTGTTTTATATAGCACTTTGAGTGTATTAATTCTTTTAGAATTCCTTGGGTTATTATGTTTACCAATACTATACTGCATTCCAAGTAACAAAATCTGCACTTACTAGCTTGCTCCAATACACTGCGAAGTGGTGGTTCAACTCTAGCTAACAGGTCATCACACATCTCTAAAAATTTGCTCCTGTGGGTGGGTAGAAATGTAAAATTATATGACTAAGCAAAAGGATGAAGAACAATGAAATAATTATGTTTGTAGGTATGTCTTAAATTTTCATCCCTAAAATTTACAATGTTTGATTTAATGTAGTTAGATGGCAGTACATTGTGTAAAAGCTGCTAATTAATAATTCTGAAGTGTTGCAATTCTTCAGTTGAATTGTATATTTTTAGCCAAGATGTCTCCTGTCTCAACAGATACCAACCTCATTAATTCTCCTCCATTTTGTTTCCAAGGGCTTTCTTAAAATGTGTACAAAGCAGAAGTTCTGAGTCACCTCATACCAAGAATAACCTCACAGAAGTTAAGTGCACTGACCCCCTCCAACTGCAGAAACATTTATTTGTACAAGAATCTCTCACTCACACCTTTCCCATCTTTCTCACAGATAATACACAGATTTATAGAAAAGATATGAACAAGGCAAATTGCTTATTTTCCTTATAAAGCTGAGCAGTTTATAGGCAGAGGTTAAACTACAGACAAAATTAAACTAGGATACCTGTTCATTGTCCCAGAGACATCAATGTCATTCATGAAGCATTCTATGTTCATTGGTAGATCAGAGGCATTTGCACTCATTAACTTCTTCAGTTTTTCACATTCCTGAGATAATCTCAACAGTGCACGAATTTTGGACTTTATGTCTAATTTATATTTCTTCCCAAATTCTTCACAAAAATAATTTACTAATACTTCATCAAATTTCTTGCCACCAAGTATTGTGTCAAACGCTGTTGCAAGAACCTTTATAATAGAAGAAATAAATTATCTCCATTACACAGATTTCTTCTCAAGATCTCGACTTCCTAGTATATTGAATAACCCAAACAACTGGTGTTTTGCTCAACTTAGTGAAATCAAAGGCTCTGGATTTCAAACCACTGTAAATCTGTTACACAAAGTTGTATGCTGCAGCCAGCAGTACTATATCCACAAATAAAAGGCAATCCACAGATTAGTAATAGGACACTAGTAACGTACTAAAGTAGAGGGAAAAATTACCAGGCTGCAAAATCTCAAAGTCTAGCTGCCTACTTTCCTGTTCTCATGTATTATCATGGAATATTTATTTGTTTAGGGAATAGAGGGATGGCCAAAACGTGAACAATCACAAAGCTGTCATTCACAGTTAGTATAGCTACCATCATTTCAAAGGACTGTCGTCTTTCAAAGGACAGAGAGAGCAATTATATGGGCCCTAGTCAGCAACTAAGAGTCCAAATTACCTTTTGCATTCCTCAATTCAAGGTTGGAGACAGTTCTGACATTAGGTGAGTGAATCAGAGCTCCAAGCTGCTCTCTGAGGAACTTGAACTTCCGAGCAGGGGTAAAAGGAGTGTTTCAGCATGCATGGAAAGGATACTGAGGAGCCAAATGTGGGAGTTATCCCAAGGCCTCTACAGTCTTCTTCCTTCCCCCTCCAACAAAGTGTATGAACAAAGAATCTGTCTAGCAATAAACACATGGCAGAAGAACAGGAAGGCAAAGGTGATCTACACCATTCCTCCTGCATAGGATACCCATACATTTCCAAATTCAGGGCCTTATGATCAAAGGCATGCCCATAGGAATAAATCTATAGCAAGTTTTGGTGCTTTCACTGAAGAGATGTAAGTTGGGCATTCTATTAGTCAATATGTTGCTTATGTTTATATTTGGTATGTGAATGTTATGCAATAGTTGCCCAGTTGCAATAAAGCTTGCAAATTCCTTAACTCTAGTACTTTCTGTGTTGCAAATGCAGCAGTAACTTTTGGAATTAAAATGAACGCAACTATATACTTACCTTCAGTTTTCCCTTGTTAAATGCACATACTGAAACTTGATAAGCTGAATGCCCTATGTCAACAAATACAACATTTCTTGGTTTCTCTTCTAATGCAGGAAGATCTTGTTTATATATGCCATATGCAAGAGCAACTAGAAAAAAAATTCAGTCCAGTATAAGTAAAAACCATTTTCTTCTTGGTTAGCTATACAATTTGTTTTCAAACAAATTTCCTTCCTCTGAGCAGTATCCAATGGTGCCATTCTACAAACTTAAATCGTGCCATAATTTTTTTCAATTGCAGAGCCTTGCTTATGCAGACAAGTTTAGCTGAATTTTTTCCTCTTCAATATTGTCTGGATCTGCCAGTGCAATGTCATTTCCACTAGCAGAATGATACACCTGAATACTTTCCTCTGAGTAAGAAATATTTAACAAAGTTGCACATAATTATTACAAATGCAGGACATCAGAGCACAGTGCTATATAGAAGTTTTGAGAAATGTTGTAATGTCACCTTGAGATTTTTGAAGTCTGAGGTTACATGCTTTGCAAAGGCAACATGAAACTACAGAATAGAAGGACATTCACCTTTTGCAGAATCAAGGTTACTCAAGCATGCTCATGATGCATGAATCATGAATCAAATAACCATGCATGAATCAAAACTCTTTGTCAGAGAATGAACACTCATCCAAAAATATATTTATGAAAATATATATTTTCATACACCAAATTATGAAGTGAGAGTAAATATATAACATTTGTAAAATTTTTGAAGAAAATCTGCATTTCATCAGATAAAAATTGAGTAAGATTTAAATATATGCAATACTTTGGGGAAATCAAATATTGTGTAAACAGATTTTTGCAATGGTAGTTCCCCTTACCTCCCCTTCCCTGAAGACCCCACACTCAAGATGTACACAGCATATGAGGAGGTGCAGGGGGAGAAGGAATGGTCTGTTCAACTGATGGAAACCAGTTATATGGATACAAGCCTGTCTTTCTAATCAACCCTAAACCTATTTTGCTGTAAAACAAGAGTGGGCAACTTAGAATGTAGCATCATCTGGAGGGTCGCAAATTGCCCACTCCTGATTGAGCATATAAAACTGAACTATTTGGCATATTTATAAAATTGTCAGAATGATCCTATGCACACTTACTCAGAAGAAAAATCCTTCTTTTTAATGAAGCTTACGCCAAGGTAAGTCCAAATAGCATCCACTGTAAAAATGCCTTAATTTTGAACAAACAAAATTACAAGTGTACTCCATACTAGTCAACTGTAACCTGCTACACATTGTGCCATTTAAGCACATGTATCCTTCCTTATGCTAAGTAGAAAGAAGAAATAAATGAAACGGTATTTGGACAGAAGTCTCATACTGTCTACAGTATACATAGGAATCATTCTCAAATACTGCAGATTGCTTGCTTTAAAATTTTCATACTATCGATTTTGACTGACCTAGGAAAACAATCATATGGTCCCTTGGAAATATCTTAGGGACCACAGGAGATTGTAGTTTCCTCTGCAAAGCTTGTAGCTACTGCTGCATCCTTGGGAGGGGGAATCTTACAGAGATATCCCCCAGCCCACATCTCCCAGCTATATGGGTAGAAAGCACCCTCATCCAAGCTTCAAGATGAAGATGTAAATGAAGAACAAGTAGGGGGATGCTGAGAATCTGCAGCATTCTAGGGCCTTCCTGTTCTTATCCCTATGACTTGACCACATATACTCAAAAGTTTATCAGCAAAGAGAAGAGAAGCAAATGTTGTCTCTGTCATTCTTCTTGTACCACCAGGATTTGTTTGATCACTTCAATGTTAGAGTGCTACCTGGACACCCATAGAAGTGCACTGCACTGCACCATTTCACTCAAATATTCCACAGGAGGTTATTTTAGAGATTCCTGAATTCCTAATTTTCTAGTAAAAAGGGGGGAACTTCTAGGGGAAAATGCTTTAATCTTTTTGAAGGGCTTCCAAGCCTTCATATAAGAGTCAGAGAAATTAAATTTCAATTTTTATCTGGATAAATCTTCCCTTTTCCTTACTAGCACTACAGTAGACAAACATTTTTGAGCCTGAATTATGTCTAATTTTTGGAAGGAAAAAATCATACTCTATATTAGAGTTGGGAGAAACTATAGTGGAATCCATCCCTCTAGCATTTGAGGACTCCTCCTTGTGTCTGGCCTGATCTTACAAAACGAACTGCGCCACGATCAAGTCTGCAAATGACTGTAAAGCAAAGATGTGCACCAGTAACCTTCTTCTACCCAAACAGCGCCTGCACATGGCACAGAAGAGGCATGCTGTTTGTGCTGTGCATGGGGCTCAATTCCTTGCAAGTGCCCTGTAAATGCTAAGTCACCTGGTACTCAGACTCAGGAGTGCAGCAGAGCAGACTGGAGACTGGGAAGCTGAGCCTAGGGAATCTGAAAGATTCCCATCCCCAACAGATTCCCCACAGATCCCTACCCTATGCTCTTTGCAGTTAGCTAGCTACCTGCAGTAGTTTCATTAATCAATCGCAAGCAGTTGAGTCCAGCAATTTGTGTAGCATCCATCACAGATCTCCTCTCTGCATCAGTATAGAAACACGGAACCTACAAGACACAAACAAAACCATAATTTTTCATAAATCCACAATTAGAATAGGAAAAGAAGGTTAGATGTGAGTCATCTCTTTGGAATGTCTTCTGCATACTAACATAGATGCTCCACAGCACACACACATACTTGTTTACTACAAAACTGAGGGCACACTGCAACTCATAAGTGAAGGTCTGCACATACAAGCCATTCTTCATGGCCAACAGAAAGATTGTAGTAACTAGAAGTGTGTCCATCCTCCAAGGTGGAACATGAAGGCAGAGTTATGCTTTTACTCTGCATACCATCTAGTGACCAGAAAGCTCAAAAATACTCAAGAGACTTTTAAATTGATAATAATCAATTACCCCTCTTCCTCAGGGATTGAGAGAGAAAAACAAAGTCTTCCTCTTGCTTGACCTCAGCAAATACAAATCAAGGCAACACTTCCCACTCTCCCTCACCTAGCTCTGAGCTTGAAAAGGTTATTAGGGTTTGCCTTGTCTCTACACTTACTAGGAGCTCTGAATCCCTAGCAAATAGAAAGCCAAGCCAAATCCCAACATTTCTCCAATTTTGCAGTAGAAGAACAGGAAGAATGATCTCTCTCTCCCAAGTTAGAAAGCCTGAGCTTGCCACAAAAAGGTGGCTGCACAATGATCCTAGCAATTAACAATGTGCACATCAGAATCTACATTATCCAATGTATCTTATCTAGTTCTCACAACTATATGGATAAGCTTCAGGAAAAAAAGTTTCTAATTAAGTTCGTAAGATTTACAATAGGTTTTGGTGAGCCCATTAGGCAGGCACAAATGCGTGGTCTACAATCTTTTGCACAGCTCTCTTCATATCTAAAATCCATTAGTAACCCTTTTAAGTCCCATCTTTCTTATACAACTACACATTTGTATAGTAGAGATGAGCATTTTGTCCACCATGGGTTGCACTGTGTCAGATGAATCATTAGGGATACCCAAAAAAGAAAAGATGTAGCAAATCAAATTTTATTAATTTCACAGAATCATAGAACAGGAGAGTTGGAAGGGGCCATAAAGGCTATCAGGTCCAACCATCCCACTGCAGGAGAGCAGTTTATACCATCCCTCTCAGATGTCTGTACAGTTTTTTTTTTTTAATGTCTCTAGTATGGTACAAGTTTAAATTTCACTATTTGCTACATAAGAATTTGTTTTTTTTTTTCACTGGGAAAACACTAAGGAATCAACAAAATAATGAGATTTAATGTTTAGGTGAGACTTCCACATTTAGAGAGATGTCATGCCAATCCAAAGACTGTATACACTGATTAAGAGGGCAATCCCCTCATTCCTGGGAAAGTATCTGAGGGATCATAAGATCGTTTGGCACCCCCTTTCCAAGGATGTACATACTTCTGGGACTCTGGTTTCTGACCATGACTGATATAGAAAAGTCACTTAGGAAAGTAAAACAGTTATCACTTGAGGGGCCAGAGAAGTGAGAAGCCCAGATCTGCACATCCTGCACTAGTATCCAATACTGTACAGTACTGGTCCTACCCCTACCAGTATAACATCTATAGACTGGCTCAGAAGCTCATTTAAAAGCAAACAACAAGAATAACCAAGAGACAAAAGTCACTTCTGACATTTCTTCTACTCTACTGGGAGACTGCCTGCAGAGCATAAGATATCTGGAATGCTTTGACATCAGAATTATCATTCAAAGATAGGAGTGTGCTCTAAAGCACTACCAAACATGCACTGTCCTCTTTCCATGCATACAGATCACATCAAAATTAACAAATACATTCAAATTATCTACTTACAGACACAACACAATCAACTACAGGTTTCTTAAGTGCATTCTCTGCAGTTTCTTTTAGCTTTGTGAGAAGCATTCCTGTCATCTGCTCAACTGTGAAATTTCGTTCTTCTTCCATATACATAACCTTAGTGTAAATATAAAAAGGACACATGTTTCAATGTTGTAATTGATAGCCTCAAGCAGTCTTTTACAAATGTTAAATCTAGCATGCTCATTCCGTATCACAAATAAATACCAGAAATGATCCTTTATATTTGAGATAAGATGACCATTGCCCATACTTACTTTATCATAAAGAACTCATCCAAATTCAGTTAGATTTTAAAGAAACCCTGTTTTGGTTGAATTCTCAAGAGCTGGACAGCATTCAAGCAAGTAACCCACATCCATGCCTATCTGACTGACTGTTCTGCAAGAATTCTGTTTTCACTCCTCTCAAAAATTAAACTATATGGCATGTTTATGGACAAGCACCAGCATGTGTACATTTTTAGTGCAAATTTACATATTCATATACCCACCTTGATGCCAATAGAATTTGACTGCATCTGGACAAGTTCATAAGCAAGCTTGGCTTTTTCATCTTGAACAAAAGGATCTGTAAATGCACGGCCATGAAATCTTTTGAAACCTTGCACTGTATTCTTTGCATTTGAAATTACCTAAAAGAGAAAAGAACTTGATCTCATCTGGCACAGCAACATTTCCCCCACAGACTTTCACCAAGAAGCATTAAAAAGTTTCCACAGCATCACACTTAAGTTATTTTGTTCCTTTGTGTTGTTTAAGCCAAGGAAGCTTTTCCAGTAAGATTTTTTAAATGCCCAGAGCACTAAATGTATGCATTCAATATAGTAAGATGCACATTCAAAAGTTTTGAAAATATTCTGGAAAGAACCTAGAAATGCTTTTAAGAGTGATATCTTCTATCATTTTTATCAAACTGAGCTCTACACAGCCTTCTAGCAATAATGACAGAGTGAATTTAGGCCACCTGAACCAATTATCATTACAAACTTTCTAGGACACTTCATCTCCTTGCTATAGCCTAGTTCTCTGCCATAAGGCAAGCAGCTACAACCATTAGTTCTCAATGGGAAAAGCTCAATAGATACTTAATATCTCATGTAAACCCTGGTGCAGCTCTGCAAAAATAAAAACTAGCAGTGGTATCTGGTGGCCCTCAGTAACAATAAATATGCTTAATTGGCAATATAGTCAAAGAGATTCACAAGCCAGAGCATTACCAAGGACACACACTAGGTGTTTTTAATTATAAGATTAAAATAGTTTTGGTTTTCATCAAATTTTAAGTATTACCATAAATAGAAAGAATTACAAAGAAATAGAAATTATGACATACAGTGGTACATTGGCTTACGAACTTAATCTGTTCCAGGACTCTGGCTGTGACCCAAAATGGACGTGAACCAAGTTAAATTTCCCCATAAGGTTCAATATAAATAAGGTTAATCCATTCTGCAACTATTTTTTTTACTCACAAAAATTTGAAGCAATGTGACAAAGAACGACAAAGATCACGGCCATCTTCCCCCACCCCCGAGCACGAGTGTGGCCATCTCCCCGCCCCTCCAGAATGACTGTGATCACACCCGTCAACCCTGCACGCGTCTGTCATCCTGGCACACAGGGTGGTGGTGGGGAGATGGGCGCAATCACAGGCACGCTCGGGGGGAGGCAGGCTTGATCGTGCTGGGGGGAGAGGAGATGGCCAAGATCGTGGTTGCACTGGTGCAGGAAAGACAGGCGCAATTTCGGTCATCTCCTCCCTGCCCCCAGCACAATCACGGCCATTTCCCCACTCAGGGGTAGGGGGATGGCCATAATCGTGGTCGCCACCCAATGTGGAGTTCACAACCTGAGTCAAAAGCTTTATGAAATTTTTGTTCGTGAGCCAATTTGGTTGTGAACTGAGGTGTTCATGAGCCGAGGTACCACTGTACTTTAGACTCTGCAAAAGTTTCAAGTCCACATTATTTCAGTTGCAAACAGTGACAGGATCTAGCTGCTGGAAATCAAATCACTTAGTAATCACTGTTCTATGGAAGACTAACTTTTTGTTATTCAAACTAATTTTTTTTAAGAAATGTTCTAATTGTTCCAATTTAATACTCACACAGTTCCGATTTTTTATGGCTCTAAGCAGCTCAGGGAACTTGATCTTCTAATCCATTTAAGGGCAATACCCATATACCCATATACCCAATACCCATATGCCCAAATTGTGAGGTACAAATATGTTACTTTAAGCTTTAAGTATTGTCATGTTATTCCAGCATTTACATTTGTAACTAAATAAAAGATTCTTGAATATATATAATCCTTACTTGACTTTTAGCTGCAGCTCCAATTGAACGATTCTTGGGTCCAAAGGATATACATGACCTAACATGACAGGAAAATGTTCAGTTTTAAGCCATAGGTTGAAATAAATCAGTTTATCAAAATTTTTAAAAAAGCAGAAAATAAGTTTGAGTGAAACTTAATTTTCTAATTGAATGAATCTGTTTACAATGTTCTACTCTTTAATACCAGTTCACCATGTCGTTAAGTTTACACTATCTCTAACTTTACTTCTATGGAAAACAGCTATTACTCGTTACCTACAGTCTTTCTGTCTAAATCATAAGATCAATCAACATACTTCATAGAGTCCCTGCTCCTCTCAGAATGTTTTATTTAATTTCTATACTGCCCAACAGCCAAAGCTCTCTTACAATCAAGTAACATTTTATTTGAGGGATGTGTGTTCTGGATGATTTGCTAGATATTAAACTTCAAAAGGCTTTTGACAAAATCCCTTAGCAAAGACTCCTAAGTAAGCTAAGCAGTTATAAAATAAGGAGTCCTCTGATGGATCAGCAACTGATCAGAGAACAGAAAGCAAATGATAGCAATAAATAGTAAATTCTTCCAGCAGACGGATGTAAACCAAGTGGTCCCACAAGGGTTTGTACTGGGACCAATGCTTTTCAACTTAATCATAAATGAACTAGAAACAGGAGTGAATGATGAGGTGTCCAACTGACACCAAAAACTTAGAGTAGTTAAAACAGAAAGGGATTATGAAGAGTGACAAAATGATCTCTCCAATCTGAGGAGTATGGGCATCAAAATGGCAAATGCAGTTCAGTGTAAGCAACTGTAAAACAATGTATGTTGGAGCAAGACACATCCATATTCAAGTATAAGCAGGTGGCGGTTGAGCTAGCAGTGACTGATTGAAAAAGAAATCATAGGATTATAGTGGACAACTCAATGAAAATGTCAATTCAGTGTGTGACTGCTGTGAAAAAGGCACATTCCATGTTAGGTATAATTAGGAAAGGAACTGAAAATAAAATTGTCAATACCATACCACCCTTATACAAATTTGTAGTTTGAGCACACCTAGAATCCTGTATACCACAACTAAAAAAGGATATTGTAGCATTTGAAAAAGTTCAGGTAAGGACAACTAAAATGATCTAGGAACTGAAGCATCACCCTGAGGAAAGGCTGCAACCACTGGGATTTAGTTTAGCAAAAAGGCAACTAAAGAGAAATAAGAGATGTACAAATATGGCATAAAGAAAGCAGGTAAAGAGATAGCCTAAGAACGTTTTCCCCAGTGATGTGTGTTTTCCAATGTTCTAACTAACGAGTTCCATCATTTCTTTAATATTAGGTTCCTGTATGTCTGCTGCATTTCTTCAGGACAGTTTCAACAAGCAGTTAAATGCTTCTTCATTCTTGTTGCATTATGAACTTACTCCCATAATAAATATATTTACAAACTGTCTTTCTTCCTTCAGTGTTTTCACTGTAGTGATTCTACATGTAAGTCTTGTTAAGTTATGCAAATACTCACTGAGCTCAAGAAAAGAAAGCTTTTCTGAGAAAAGTGAAGAAATAGTAATCACAGTTTTAATTTAACTTTTCCTTCAATTTGTTAATGAATGATAGCAATAGAGGACAAATAACATTATGAAGGAGTCTGAGCCTGGAGCCAAGTGCATTGCGCACAGAAAGGAGCTACACCATAGGCAACTGAGCATAGGGATTCTCAATCCTCCTCCTAAGATTAACTTATAGAAGTTCATAGCCTCTGTTTAGCCCATCTGACATGACTGATTACAGTATAACAGTCCATACAATTATGGACAAATGCAAACAAACAGCATGAAAAATCTTCTATAGAAAAATAACTTCAGAAAAAATTCATCCACATCACTGTTCTTCAATTGACATATTGTTACTAGCACAAACTGGAATTTTGTGCAAGATATAGCAACAGGCAACACTTTGGATGGCTTTAAAAGATTGGACAAATTCATGAAGCGGAAAAGCTATCAAAAGCAACTAGTCCTGATGACTGTATGCTACTTCTGGTAAGTGGTATGCCTCTGTACATCAGTTGCTGCAGAAACTGGGGGTGGGGGGGATGCCATGTCCTGCCTGTGCATTTCTATAGGCAGCTAGCTGGCCAGAGTGTGAACAGAATGATGGACTAAATGGATTATTGATTTAATCCAGCATGGCTCTTATGTTATTTGATGAATGACTATTCATTACGCTATTAGCTTGAATCCTAATGTGCTTTGCAGTTTCTTCAGAGGGGGAAATTCACCCTATATTTTCTGCAAGGGATCCCCAAACCTCAGGAGCAGATTTTCAGGGAGTACAGGAGGTTGTTAAGAGGAGGAGAAATTAGAGAAGCCCTGTTTTAGTGAAGGGCATTTAGGATCCAAGTCATTCATCCCAGGAAGAAAGTCTGTCATTGAACAAATTCAAACACTGAAGCCAGAAGCATACCAATATGAAATATTATAACAAAACCAAAAATGTGCTGCTTTATCACTATTGTCAGTATGCTACCAACTACACAGAATAAAATATGTAATTTAAATGAGCTTTAAAGTCATCAAGAGTCCTGCCCAAGGTTTCTACAGAATTATTGATACTGGAACACTGTGGTTGAATAAAATAATAATATGTTCTATGCTGTGGGAATATAACATTCATGTATTACTCAACAGTGTACATAGTTTAAGATGGGGTGGGGTGGGAACTGCATTTAGCAAAGAGCCACATTCAATTTCCAAAAAGCTTTTGGGGGATACATGCTAGTGCTGAGCAAGGCCTAAGGCAAAATACAAAAATGTCAGTGAATTTTAGTTTAAAGCCCTTACAGCAAGTAACTAAGCCTTACAAGAAGCTTTTCAATCTTTTAGAATGGGAAAAAACAAAAGATTGAAAACCACAAATGATCACCAGCTGGGTAAAAGGTATGAAACTATCTGAAAAACCCCTGAACACAGATCCTTAAAAGCCAGAAAGTTCCCACCTTTGATTTACAAGTTCTGCTTAATACCCACAAAAATCTATCCATTAGCTGGTCTTTAATAGAAATTGTGATAAAATCCTACTGAAAATGTCACTTTAATGGATATATATATATATATTTAGAGAATCTTTTGAGCAATTGTATCCAGTTCATGTATCCACTCCATCTCCTTCATGGATCACTGCCTTGTTGTGGCAAATGGGCTTGCTAGCTCAATGAAGCTAGGAGCTATGCTGTGCAGGGCCAACCAAGACGGACAGATCATAGCAGAGAGCTCTGACAAAATGTGATCCACTGGAGAAGGAAATGGCAACCCACTCCAGTACCTTTGCCATGAAAACCCCATGGACAGTACCAAAAGGCAAAAAGATATGATGCCGGAAGATGAGCTAGTACTAGTAGTGGCAGAAAAAATGAAGTGACTGGGTCAAAGCCGAAAGGACACTCAGTTGCAGATGTATCTGGTGGTGAAAGGAGAGTCTGCTGCTGTAGAGATCTATACTCCATAGGAACCTGGAATATAAGATCCATGAATCAAGGCAAGCTGGATGTGGTCAAACAAGAGATGACAAGACTGAACATCGACATCTTAGGAATTAATTAAGTGAATTAAAACGGACAGGAATGGGTGAATTTAATTTGGATGACCATCAGGTATACTACTGTGGGCAAGAATCCCGCAGAAGAAATGGAGTAGCCTTCATAGTTAATAAAAGAGTAGGAAAAGCAGTACTGGGGTACAATCTCCAAAATGACAGAAAGATCAGTTCGAATCCAAGACAAACCATTCAACATCACAGTAGTCCAAGTCTATGCCCCAACCACTAGTGCTAAAGAGGCTGAAGTTGACCAGTTCTATGGAGGCCTACAACACCTAGAATTAACACCAAAAAATGATGTCCTTATTATCATGGGGCATTGGAATGCTAAAGTAGGAAGCCAAAAGATAACCGGAATAACAGGCAAGTTTGGCCTTGGAGTACAAAATGAAGCAGGACACAGGCTGGCAGAATTTTGTCAAGAGAATACGATGGTCAAAGCAAACACTCTTTTCCAACAACCCAAGAGACGACTCTACACATGGACATCACCAGATGGTCAACACAAAAATCAGATTGACTATGTGCTCTGCAGCCAAAGATGGAGAAGCTCTATACAGTCAGTAAAAACTAGACCAGGAGCTGACTGGCTCAGATCATGAGCTTCTGGTTGCAAAATTTAGACTTAAATTGAAGAAAGTAGGGAAAAGCACTAGGCCACTCAGGTATGACCTAAAATATATCCCTGATGAATATACAGTAGAGGTGACAAATAGATTTAAGGAATTTGATCTGATAGACAGAGTGCCTTAAGAACTATGGATGGAGGTTCGCAACACTGTACAGGAGGTAGCAACTATTTATTTATTTATTTATTTATTTAGAAAATCTCTATGCCACCCCATTTGCCAAAGCCTCGGGGCGGCTCACAAATATATCAATTAAAATATAATACAATAAAATATAAAACAAGTTTACAATATAAAATAAAACCATCCCAAAGAAAAAGAAATGCAAGAAAGCAAAATGGCTGTCTGAGGAAGCTTTACAAATAGCTGAGGAAAGAAGGGAAGTGAAAGGCAAGGGAGAAAGAGAAATATACACCCAACTGAATGCAGAATTCCTGAGAATAGCTAGAAGAGATAAGAATGCCTTCTTAAATGAACAGTGCAAAGAAATAGAAGAAAATAGAATAGGGAGGACCAGAGATCTCTTCAAGAAAATTGGAGATATGAAGGGAACGTTTCATGCAAAGATGGGCATGATAAAGGACCAAAATGGCAGGGACCTAACAGAGGCAGAAGAGATTAAGAAGAGGTGGCAAGATTACACAGAGGAACTATACAAGAAAGAGCTTAACATCCCTGACAACCACGATGGGGTGGTCACTGACCTCAAGCCAGACATCCTGGAATGTGAACTCAAATGGGCCAGATACTGAAGATGAAACTCAAATACTTTGGCCACCTAATGAGAAGGAAGGACTCCCTGGAGAAGAGCATAATGCTGGGAATAATAGA